TTGTATATTTTTACAAAAAAAACATTCTTGTTCTTCCTTTGTCAATACGTTTTCCCTTACTTGAGAATCTCATTAGTTTTTAATTTTCCCTCAATCCCTCTGCTTTGCCCCCTCTCTCCCTTCTTTCAAGTCCTGCCTGAAAACGTTCCTGTTCGACCTTGCTTACGGCCTCCCCCTCCCCCCGGCTCGGAGTCAGGCTCCGCCACTGTTAAGCTCTCTGAGACGCTACCCTGCGTGGAAGGCGCTTTATAAGTGCAAGTTGTTGTTGTTTTACTTGTATTCTGTGGAATGTAGCATTTAAATTGATTTTTGTTCTGAAGGATATAAAAATGCTATAGAAAGAAAAAATATAATTATTAGTTTTCCAGAATGCTGGTCTGTTCCTCGTCATATTTTTATATGTATTATTTATACAGTACATAAAGTATCTTTCTGATTTTTATTTACATATATTTACATTATGGGACTCCACATCTGTCGTGCCTGCAGGTTTAGCAAGGAGACAGATTGGACATGATGCATCAGAATGCTGGTCAGTGAAGATAAACAGCTGTCAGAGCACAACTCTGAAAGGTGAAACAAGGTAAATTAAAAGAAACATCTAAAGACTCCTCTGGCAGAGGAATTTTGCAGAACATATAGTTGGGGGTACAGAAACCAAGATTAACATGGTTCAGGCAAATATTCAACTGTTTATACATGAACATTATACATTGTTTGGGGCCTCCATGAGGCAAGCAGAAAATGATGATCAGATCATATAAATCTTCCCAACACAAGATCGTAACACTCATTGTTTAAAAGGGCAATTGTTGTGTTTTGATTTCTCAATATAAAGACAACAAAACAATTATTAACTTAGCAATTAATGTAAAGTCTTCCTTTCAGAACAAAGAAAATCTAATAATGGACCTGCAGATCAAATCATGTCCACTCCAGTGGTGTGAAGCATCAAATGAATAAGCCAAATAGAATCACTTTCAAGATTCATGGCAAGATATACAATGATCTTCAATTCACTGAAGAAGATGGAATGATGTAGAGGTTTTCGTATAAGATGTAATTTTCTTGTGACTTTGCTTTGTAGATCATATTGTATCCCTAACTAATGGTCTGCACTCGATTTTCAACATGACTTGATTCAATATTCAGAGAAGTTTGGTGCTATTTGGCTGAAGAACAAAGGGAGTGTTGGAGTAGCAGGAATGCTCAACTGTATCCGGACTTCCTAGTTTTGGTTGGATGCTGTGTTCACAGCATGTGTAGAAGACAAATGCTGCGCAGCAAAATAATTTGTAACAAGGACAGATGTCTCAAAGATTTGGCTTTTGTGCTTGCGCCTTTGTTACTTCCCTCCACCTTGCTCAGTGTCCAACCTCACCATTGTACAGCACTCCAAGATGCTATCCTGCGTGAAGGGTGCTATATAAATGCAAGTTATTGTTGTTGCTCAAAATGCAGTATCAACAAACATATCTGAGACATTGCATCATCACATAGAATCTCTAATGGTACAATTTGCTTCATTAACCTAATTAGTACAAATATCTTTTTTGATGAATTGAGAAAAGAATGCATCTGAATTTTTTGAAATTAAAATGTTATAGGGTTGCATCACTGCTATAAAACATGGGTAAACTGTTCGAAACTAGTAAGTACGTATGTATGAGCAATAAATGGCACGACTGAAGAAGAAACATATATTAAACTCATGAATGTGTTTTTAGATAACTTTCAACTACCACTGCTCTCAGTGAAGGACAAAGACTGTGGAGGGGAAGGTACGAATTGTATAATAAAGCTTGCACCACAGTGATGAATATATAGGCAGTCCAAACAGCTTACAAACAGTTAAGATTCTCTTTTTGCACAAAATGGTACAAATAAATCATTTCAAACAAAGAAAATTTTGGATCAACCCTTACCACAAATGGCAACAGAAAGATGAGAAATAGGAAGATATGGAGAGAACTGTATGTAACCTGTTTTTTTTATTACTGCACTTCCTACAGAAATTGCTCATTTTACAACACTTGCTTGTATATTATGAGGAAAAACTCCAAATACAATTAGAGCAGCAGAACCATTTAACAACTGTATTAAGAAATCAGCAATTCAAAATGTACAAGTGTATTACAAGTTATGCTCAGGCAAATGGCTTTGATCACCTGTGCAATTCATTCAACCTCCTGAACTTGTACTTTAGTTTTATCACTTTAACTAGGTCAACAGCTATCATTTGATGCCCCCTGGTGGACATGGTTTCACAGCACCAATTGACACTATACCAGTTTAGCTGAGTTGGTTGCATTCCTATCTCTAGGTCACATACGTTCAAGATTGTAATCTAGTCCGTGCAATACCAAGGGAATCCTGGATAGAATACGGTAAAATCCCATTGTAATGCAATTCATCTTATAGTATGATTGGGGTGCGAACTCTGACATTTCTTTACCCCAAAAATGTGCATACTGGCTCCTTCAGGCCTTCAAAATGCTGGCCGGGTTACAGAACGTCAAAATGGCCAACGTCTGGGTCATTAGGTCACTGCAGACATTTTTTCCTTATACAGCGACCAGGAAGTCAGCCATTTTGTCATCCCATTTGCCAGCTAGCATTTTGAAGTGCGGATGGAGCTAGTCGTCTTTCTTCTCACAAGTGCAGTGAACGTGGAAGTGCTGAACAGCGATCCCGCCCCATTAAAGTGCTGACTGAAATTTTATGGATCCCCATTAACCAATTGACAGCAGGGTCCACTGTAACAGACATTATGTTGAGGTTCCAGGAGGATGTTAGCAATCACATGGCACTATTTCCAAAACTATGGAACGCTCTTCCTCTAGCACTCTGCCTTGCCCCCGCCTTCCTCATTTTCAGATTGTGCCAGAAGACCTTCCTCTTCGACCGTGCCTACGACCGTCACCTCCCCCCTCGGAGTCATGCTCTGCCACTGCCAAGCACTTTGAAACGCTTCCCTGTGTGAGGGGTGCTACATAAATGCAAGTTGTTATTGTTATTCCAAAGAGTAGAGAATTCTCCTGGTATCCTGGCCAGGAATCCTCCCCCCCACCCACATATAGATTGTTCATGTCATTGTTGTTGCTGGTTTCACCTTTACTATAGTCACTATACTTTGAAGTCACTTAGTGAAGTCTCAACAGCATTGGCAGTTTGATGTTACAATGCACTACAATAAATATAAGTATTAATTACTTTTGCCTTATGTTGCCAAATAAGATCACTTGAAAGAATTTGATGTCGCATGTCTGAACAGAGGAACACATTCATACTCCTCATTCTAACCTTTACATCTCTCCAATGGTCTTGCCCCACCCTACCTTTGCGACCTCCTCAAACCCTACGCCGCCGCTCCCTCTGCTCAGCCTGCTTCATGGCCCCGGTCTCTCGAACCCATCCTCAGCAGTCAAGCTTTCAACCCCACCCGCTAGAACTTCATTCCAGAATCCCTTCAAATCACCCCTTCCCTCACCTTCAAAGTCTGCCTCAAGACCTTCCTCTTTGACTGTGCTTTCAAACACCTTGCCCACCGACCAACCGCCCCCCTCCTCCTCACCACCAGCTTGGGTGCAAACCTGCACTGTTCCATGCCTTGCAATATCCTCATGACGTGAAAGACAGTATATAATTGTAAATTTGCATTGTATTGTATATTTCATTGCTTGCTGCTACTATGCTGCAAATTTCCAAAACATGTATAAATAAATAAAGCAAATTAATCTTCAGAATATATAGAATACTTCTGTAGCTGAGTAGGTTGAGCACTGGACTTGAGACCATATGGTCTGGATTGAAATACCAATGGATATACTCAGCCTTATCTGAGAGTAGGACTGGGTGTGTCCACTGGTATTTGACCGCACTTGGAATACTGTGTGCAGTTCTGGTCACTGCAAAAAAACAAGGATATTGCAGCGATTGAGAATATACAGAGGAGGGCAACCAAAATGAGGAGCGATTAGGTAAACTGGGCATGTTCATGCTGGAGAAGAGAAGGTTGTGGGGCGATATGATTACAATCTAAGATTCTGAAGGGACTAAATAATGTAGAACATGATAAGCTGTTGTATCATGAATTGAAAAGTAGAACCAGAGGACACAGCCTGCAATTGAAAATGGGTAAATTCAGAACAAATCTACGGAAATACTCCTGCAGTGAGCAAGTAGTAAACTTATGCAATAGGTTCCCTAGGGAGATGGTGGAAGCAGAAAGTGTCATTTGTTTCAAGAACAAATTAGATAGATTTCTGCCAGAAATTAACATCTCAGGATACAGTATAGTTTGGGAAACGATATATTAAGCGACTGCCAGGATGATGGAAGCTGCACTAGATGGACCTTGGTTTTCTTTCGCCTCGCAAATTCTTATGTTTTTATGAGTAAAGTAAGTAGTGAATAGTGACTATTATTTGGGCACGCACAATTTGGGATTTATTTTAGTGTAAATTTTTATTGGAAAATGTAAACCTATTTTAAATATGCCCACCATATCTAAAATAGAGTGTAAATCAATTCTCAGGATAGTTAAACAGATCTAAATGTACAAATGAGATTACTGCAGTGTTAGCTTGCTCTAATCACAACATAGTTACCTTCAGACTTCTTGAGACGGGTGTGACAATAGATCACAATCAATCACTTTAAAATATAGTATGGTTTCTTTATCTTTGGTCATGTCATTTTAGCTTAGTCATTTTTATACTATATTAGTAGGTGTTTAGCACTCTAGGAAATTTCAGGGGTTGGCCTGACTCTGTTGGGAGCAGTCTTGCTTTCGAGTCAGAATGTTGTGGGTTCAAAAATACAATCACTACAATTTACAGTAAAATCCTATGAAGTAATTTGAGACATTTTTATGAATTAATAAGGCGCTTTATCAAATGATGATCATCATAAATCTCCAAATCTCTGATTAAATGCGATGGAGCACAAAGCATGAATTGCACAGATCAATAATTCTCAACTCAAGGGACGTCACATACCTTTTGATTGCAACATCTTGTATTTAGTTAGGGGTTTTGGGTGAGGCAAACTATAGATAACAATTTTTCCAGTAGAAAATGCAACAGCCAGGATCCCAAGTCTTGCCACCTGAGGACTCTACAGAAGAAAAAGGCATTAGAGGAAAATTAACATAACTGTATATCCAACTGCCTACCACTTTGCTTCAAGCATATTTTTTTCTTAAGATTTATTTTTACTGCTCCCAAATCACCATTGGAACGGTTTTCCGAACCCATCTTTCTACCTATACCCCTGTTTTCAAAGAACTACTTAATATTCTTCTCTTCAAAAGTGCCTTCAGACACTTCTAGTCCCCAGCTCAGGTCCAAATCTTGACTGTCCAGCACCTTGAGACATCTTCCTAACATCAAAGGCACTATACAAGTGTAATTTGTTATTGTTGTTAGAATTTCCTTCCACTTCATGTTCAGTCTCCATTGTTAAGCACTTTTGAGATTTTCTTGTATAAAAATTGCTATGTGTAACATCAGCTTTATCTTAATTCTATTCTCTCCAAATGTTGAACTTCACAAATCAAGCTCATCAGAAGGGAAGCACACCACATTGAAAACTATCACAAATTTATAAAGCACTGTTGGAAACTATTCATTTGTATTTCCAAACCACAAACTGATTTCAGTTAACATTGTGTGGAAACTAAATATGAATGAGAAAAGTCAGCTGCCTGTTTTGCTCTTTACCTCAATTCCAATCATCAGCACACATGTAGATGATTTTTGCAAATACCACCAACCCTGTTCCTCTTGCAAAAGGGATTAATAATTGACAGTGAACAAGAAGTGGGAGGAATTTAGAAGTGTCTTAAGGTACTTTTGGAAAGATGAGTCTTGAGCTCTTTGAAAGCTGGGATAGAGGCAGCAAAGTGAATATTTAGGCTGGATCAACAAAATTGTACCATCAACAAAACTTACACTGGGACAGAATTCTAAAAAGGTAAATCATCTACTTAAAAATAAATGTGAGTTTCTCCCTGTCCTAGCCAAGAATCCCCCAAATATAATTGATCATTTCTTTCATGGCTGTTAGTGGGAACATTGGAGTGAGCAAATTGGCTGCTGCATTCATGTACAAAACACTCACTGCACTTTACAGTAAAATCCTTTGATGTTTTGAGACTTTCCCCCAACATGATAAGGTGCTATGGTGCAATGATTAATATTTTGTTCTGGTGCAATCAATTACTTCAATTAATCTTCCACGTATCAATAACACAAACAATAGGTAAAATATTGAGTTTTAGATATAATTATGGATTTTGGTAATGTTTCACATATTTCTAAATTATTCAATTTATGTTGCATTGTGGAAAAAAAGCTCTCTGCGTGCGTCAAGATCACTCATTGAGCCAATTAGGAGGCAGAAACCCAGCCAAATACTGGTCACCATGAATCTCCAGGATGTCTTGAATGTAGACTTCATTTTTAAAAATGGCACAATGTGAAATATGCATGATCCCTCTCCGTCAAAAACAGTTTTAACACAACGAATTGCATATTCCTTTTCAATTAATAATTATAAAACATTTTTCAAAAAAAAGTATATAATTCTGATTGCTAAAAATTTCTAAGAAAACCTCTTGAGTATTTTGCCATTGATGTAAAGGGGAAAAGAGCAAAATACTTGTGAAGTAACACATTCCAAGCTAAATGCCAGGTTAACATTTAACACATAAGAGCAGATCATAGATCCATAGAATCTTACAGCACAGGAGGCCCATCATGCCTGTGCCGGCTCTTTGAATGAGCTGGTATCCAACTAGTCCTACTCCCCTATATTTCCCCGTAGCCCTGCATTTTTTTTCTTTTTCAAGTACCTATTCAATTCCCTTTTGAAAGCGATTATTGAATCTGCTTCCACCACCCTTTCAGGCAGTGCATTTCAGATCGTAATAATTCTTTGGGTAAAAAAAATTCTCCCCGGCTCCCCTCCCGTTCTTTTGCCAATTATCTCGAAATAATCTTAGATGATTCTAGACATTCTTCAAAACCAAACAGTCAGATTGAAAATGTTTAAAGATCACATGAATTATGCACAATATAATGGTTAGGAAAAAAATAAAAGGCCCAGCAAGCGACATGGTTTCAATGACTTGACACTTGACACTTTTCTACTTGAACTTTTCTTTTAGAATCCTCACTGAGAATCCTATATACCGATTATTATGAGACAAACACTGAGTAAATAAAGGAGAGCTTCTGAACGGGACTGTACAGGTCGACTGGAAAACCTGAGTGCTTCCTCTTCTGCCATAAGCAAATTAAGTAATTAAAATCCACAATAAAAATCTACAATACAAATCACAGCCCTGTTGTAAAGCTCATTCACACAGAGATATATGTTGCTCTCTTACATTTAGATAGCACAGATGCATAAAGGTATGAGATATAATACTAGATTTTATAGCAAAGAAAGAATTTGCACTTTTATAGCTTCTTATTATGTCAAAACGTCTCAAGGAGGAAGACTGTCTAGTGGATGATTCAACAGAATGCTAGCCAGACCTTCCCACCTCAAAAATGTGACCAATCTGCCACTCGCAAACTGAATTTTAATTCCTGCTGTGTTTTTAAAAATATTCAAACATACCTAACCTTTTGGTCAAAACAGGCTTGCTCTGCTTAAGAATGTTGCAATGTAAACAAAAAATATTTAAAAATGAAATTACCGTAGTAACTCAGAGTGTGCAGAACTAGACAAATTGTTGAATTAACGTTGAAGCCGCTTTTTTCTGTACTTCTTAAAAGAACTTAACAGAAAAAGCTTAAAAATTAAATATTGCATTTAAGAATTTGATAAATTCTGGACGCTCTGAAACAGTTATAAACTTAAACCCAGGTGAAATTACTAACCAGTGGTTCACAAAGAATACATGATTAGTTTTAACTGAGTTGGTTAATTACCTTTCTAGTGGTCTCTGGCAGCTCCCATGCACCACTGGGACACCACTTCATATCCCAGATACAACCATGGTCTGTAGCAACACCGTAGGCGAAAGCAGAATTCATCTGAGGGCTGGATATAAAATACGTTTTCTGAGATTAGCTTTACCTTTTCATTATTTTGGGGGTTAGCTGGAGCTGCCAGGGAGATATGAAGAGGTGGCGCAGAGAAGCCACTAATGAACTTCAGGGAATTGCTTACTCCATATAATTTTATGTCATCTGTCCAGCCAGACTCCTTGTAATTATGTAGAGTGCACTGTATTAGGTGCAGATTGGTGAGTGTGCACTGGGGTATTGCTGGAGTTTAACCGGGTAAAACCGCTCAGCTTACTATTTAGAACACACTCTCTGGCAAGCTTCCTGCTGCTTGTCCAGCTAGGATCACCCTCCTAGTTCCTGCTTTGGCTTAAGGAGAAATTTAATGAGAACGTTGGTGAAATCAAATGAGGTCTGCAACTTGTTGAGTTTTCAAATATACAGCTTCCATTTCATCCAATGCGGTGAGTTTATAAATTGAATAGTGCCAACCCAATTATTGTATGCTTTCACTTTGATGGTGAACTAATTAAAGTGCTAGTTCTCAACAGGATCTTTAATACGTTGTCTTCTTTAATCTCTACCAAGTTCTCACTCACCAGCTATCCTGCTGTAAGTCTCCGAGTTGCCATATCTGTAGCAGTGCGGGCCCTGCATTCAAGTTCTTCAGTGAATGACGATCATCCATTCTTTTATTACAGTAAATGGCTGCATACTGACAGGTAGCTGAGCCCTCTGGGGTTGGACACCATTCCATAGACCATACAGGACCACCGACAAAGAAGCTTATATCCCAGCGTGTATTGTGAGTAGGTAATGATTGAAATCTGCAAACGTGAAAGATATATGTGTGTAAACATTCAATAAAGGTATAGATCTTATAATGTTAAACATTTCCTGCTCTCCTCATCCACAGAATAAAACAAGCAAGTCCAAGCCTTCACAAAGAAGAGTCACTGCATTTATTCGACTAAGGATCCAACACATTCAAGCCTTGTCCTTATCCAACATCCACACACATGCACCTTCCAGTAAGCCAGGAATGGAGTTAGAAAGAGTGTGTGGGTGTTATGCTTATGATAAGTATGTACTGAAATAAATGTATGGACAGAATTGAGTCTGACTGCAACAACCCACAAAGTTAAGAAGTCGATCTTTAACTCACTCTAGAGGTTCTTTTTGAACCAACTGGATGTCTGACACAGGTGGAAACCATCAACCATCTTGGAGTCCCATATCGCATTAGTTAGAGAACTCACCTCGCAAGTGAGAGTACCCAGGTTTGATTCCCAATGGGGGCAAAACCTTAGGCGCAATATCAAATACAAGGACTTTTATTATTCTCATCATGCTTTTATGAGCCTCCAAACCAAACATCAGAGTTCCACATAAATATGGTGTCTGTTCACATGTGAAGGAAAGCTGCTATGGCAAAGTACCAGAAACATCCTGGTCCACCTATCTGTCTGCAGTTTTCTTTCATGGCCCAGATTTATTCTTGTGAGACACTGCACCTCAGTCATGCGCAGAAACAAATGTGCTAGCCTGTTAAATTGTACCTGTGCATCTATTTGCCAGGCTTTCATGTACCATTATACACACCTTGTAAACAATGATTAATTATGGATGATTATATTATATATCACCATGGCTATAAGCATTGATTCATATGATTATGGGTAACCTACCCGCAACTTTAATGCAGAAAATGGGCGATTGAATGACCTATGAAACCCCTGAAGTAGTAAAATGGAACATAGTGGTCAGAAGGCTAGTACAAACTGATTTAGAGCTATCAAAGAAGTTAGACAAAGTTACATTTTCCAGAACAAAGAAACATGTCAAAAAACAGTTTCAAGGCCAGGACAGGGAGACTGGGACGAGGAGATTAGGAGTCAGGAGAAGAGTCATGAGGGGAAAAGGAATGTGTGAGAACCCATCACTGAGGGGAACCGATACAATGAACTCCATGTGCAGGTTAAAATGAGCAGATCTGAAGGAAAGTAATGGTCCAAAGGTGATGTGACTGTAAGAATCAGTACTTCTAGAAATCTGAGTGAAGTTATAATAATAATAATCCTTCGCTGAAATTCTTGTTCATGCCTTCATCACCTCCAGGCTCGACTATGCAAACGCCCTGCTTGTCGGCCTTCCCAACTCCTCCCTCCACAGGCTGCAGATAATCCAGATCTCACTGCAGCCCGTGTGCTCTCCTGCACCAAACTCCGTGACCCCATCTCCCCCACTCTCGCCCAACTCCATCGGCTCCCTATCCTTCAGAGGATCCAGATCAAGGTTCTGGTCCTCACCCACAAAACCCTCCATGGTCTCGCCGCACCCTACTGTGACCTCCTAACCCCCTACCAACCCGCCCGTTCTCTCCGCTCAGTCGGCTCCGGCCCTGTCCACGTCCCCCCACCCACCCGCCCCACTATTGGCGGGAGAGCCTTCAGCCACTCTGCCCCAATCTCTGGAACTCCATCCCCCAATCACTCCGCCTCACCCCCTCCTTAGCCTCCTTCAAGTCCCACCTCAAAACCCTTCTCTTCGACCATGCAATCGGTCACTCCCCTTCCCCTCCCTTATCCTCGCCCCGATCCCAGCTCGGGTCTGAAATGCTGTACACTGTCCAGCGCCTTGAGATGTCCTCCTGACGTGAAAGGCGCTGTACAAATGTAATCTTGTTGTTGTTGCATTTGATATAGTGCTGTTCACGTCTTCCAGACGTCTCAAAGCGCTTCACAGAATATACTGTAAAGTGAATTGACTGTATATTTTGTGGGCGAACCGCGGCAGCCAATTACGGACAGCAGTGTCCCACAAACAGTCATGGACTGAAGTGACCAAATTATTATTTTTTTTGTTGAGGGATTATTATCAGGCGTGTGGAGTAAGGAAACTTGCTCAAGGTTTCGTCCTGCCGGGAATCAAACCCAGGTCTCTCACTTGCAAGGCGAGTGCTCTATCCACTGAGCTACAGGACTCCACCTGTCCTGTTGGTGAGAAAACAGAGGAGGAGCTCTATGGTCACCTTTGCAAAGGGCTGACCTCTCCGACCAAAACCACAGAAACTCAAGATTGGAAACGGCAGACTGTTAGAAGACAAACTTCTCTGCAGCCCATGTCCTCTCCCGCACCAAACTCCGTGACCCCATCTCCCCCATTCTCGCCCGACTCCACTGGCTCCCTATCCTTCAGAAGATCCAGTTCAAGATCCTGGTCCTCACCTACAAAGCCCTCCATGGCCTCGCCCCACCCTACCTCTGCGACCTCCTAACCCCCTACCAACCCGCCCATTCCCTCTGCTCAGCTGGTTCCGGCCTGCTCCATGTCCCAATCCACTCGCCCCACCATTGGCGGGAGAGCCTTCAGCCACTCTGCCCCCAACCTCTGGAATTCCATCCCCCAATCACTCCGCCTCGCCCCTCCTTAGCCTCCTTCAAGTTCTGCCGCAAGACCCTCCTCTTCGACCGTGCCATCAGCCACCCCCCTCCCCCCCCACCCCACCGATCCCAGCTCGGGTCTGAAATGCTCTGTCCGGCACCTTGGGACTTCCTTCCAACGTGAAAGGCGCTATACAAATATAATCTTGTTGTTGTTGTATATTAAAACCAGAGAACCAAGAGAAATCACCACTGTATACACAATATTTTATTTTCTCCAATCTGAGTTACATGAATATTCATGTGTTCACAGATCACATGCTCAGAGATTCAAATAGGCCTTCAGAAAAGACTTGACTCACCTCCCCAGGCTTTGAGTTGTGCTGTCCTCTTGAATTCCCTCCCTCTTAATTGTAAAAAGTGCTGACTTTGGCTCATCAGGCAAATACTGAAGTGATTCACTACAATAAAATTAAGTTTATGGCATTGGTTAGAACTGAATAAATCATCCAATACAATCTGTACAGAATGTCGCAATGAGTTGTACAGATAATAACGGTGTTTTATCAATCTTGCTTCACTGGTATTAAAAGCTTATCTCTTCCAGAGAGCTCTACTTAAGAAAGAAAAATAAGCTCATTGATAGGGCTGTTAATAATTGAACACAAATAACTGTGGTAGCATGTTTTCACCAGGAGCTAAAGCAGCACAAATAAACAAGCACTTAGCAAAATGTGTGAAAGAAGACTGCATTTATCCACGCAATTCCCTACATTCTAAATTTGGAAAGAAAATCCTTCTGCTGTTTAGGCCCTTTTGCACAATACTGGAAGGGGAATACATTCAACTGCAAGAATGAAGTAGGTCAATTGAGATGCATTTTTGTTCTCACAAAAGAGGTATGAAAGCCCATTTGATCTCGTCTTTCTAGAATACCCTCCCAATTATTTTTGCATTATAGCATCAGCATCTTGTTGTCTAACACACTTACTGGTAATTCTTTGCCATCATTGTTTGCATATTTTGTGTAATGAAATACTTCCATGTACCCAACCTAAAATTGCCCTTCATGACATTGAACCTGTGCACTCCTGTCCTGCTGCCTTGTTACATCTAATAGAATTGTTTGGGGTTTACTTTCTCCATTCTATTTAGCATGTTTTTTTATATTAGATCCCCTCAAAGGCATCTCTTTTCAAGGCTGACAAGCACAAGCATATCTAGTTCCTCACAGCTAATAGCCCTGTAGCCCTTAACTGATTTTTCAATGTCAGCCAGGACCCTATTGCCTTGCTTATTGCTGTCTCACACTGTTTCAACAACAGAGAGTTACTGTCATGAGTTAATGCAAAAGTGCTCAAACACTAGAATAAACACTTGTGACTTAAACTCAGTTTTCAACAGGGAAACATGTTGTTCTGAGAAGATATCCAATCAAAACCAAAGTCCTGTGAGTCACAGTGACATACAAGGGTTTCCTCCCTGCCCCTCCACCCATCAATTTCATCTTTTGAATGCTTTATCAATACACAAACTAAAAGGATTCCATGATGGTAGAGGCGGAAAAGAATAATGGTCATAGGATAGTAATTAGACCAGTGAGTGATTTGCAAAGACATATGAAACCTGAGGTTCATAGCAAAACCCAAGTAGTTTGTTACGTTATCTAAATTGCAGCCTTCATTTCATTGCTCAGTACAATTTGTACATTATGTAGTTATAGTTCAAACAAAGTTGGTAAATTCTCCATTAGGGTACACTAATACTCAAAATTGTAAAACATTTTACATTACCTTTGACTTAGAAAAGTCCAATCCTGTGATGAAGGAATCCATTCTGGAAATACCCACGAAGAATGATGTTTTTCTCGACTATTGAGCATACAAATATATGAAACAGTTAGTGTATTTAGTGGAGTTATGTGTCAGTTTGGTTCAGTTAATGTTTCTCTCGCCTACTGGTAAGGGGTGTGGGTTCAAGCCCAACATAGGGCCTTCAGGTCAGTCTAGACTGATACTTCAGTGCAGTAATGGCGTTGCTGGCTTTTGAATCGCAAGCGATCAATTAGCAGGAAACCAATTCTATTGACATTTTCTACTGGAGACTCGAAATTACTCACATGTGTAAAATGAAGGCTATCTATCACCTTAGAATTTAAGATAATGCAGAATTTAAAAAAAAAATTAGTATCAGTCTCATCTAGAAACTGATTGGGGCTGGAGTCCACAATAGTATAAATCACATAGCATAGAAACAATTTTTGGCAGTAGACCATTGTATCAACTTGCTTTCCTATCTAGGGTAATTTCCCACAAAATGCAAAGACTATTAAAATTAAAGTTACTTCTGAAAATAAATTAAAGATTTGAAGAACAAAGGTACTAAAACGGTATGAGCAAAGAGCAGGGAAATGGCCTTTGAGTTTAGTGTGGGAGCTAGTACATTACAATGGAGAATAACCTTAAAGGTAGACCAAGAGAGCTAGAAATGAAGTTAAGAAGCAATGTTTCATACAGAGGGTTGTGAAGATGTGGAACTCTCTGCCCCAGAAAGCTATAGAGGCAGAATCAATAAGGATGAGCTAGACAGATCTTGGGTAACAGAGGTATAAGGGGCATAAGAAAATGAGATTAAAGAAACCTATCAAGGTCTAATAATCTGGTGGAACAGCCTCAGTGGGGTGAAATGGCTTCCTCTTGTTCCTATGTTCCAATCACGGCCACTGTGGAATCCTGTAGCGTATTGGTTAGAGCACTCGCCTAACAAGCGAGAGGACCTGAATTTGTTTCCCAGGCGGGGTGAAATCTTAGGCAAGTTTCCTTACTTCACACGCCTCTGTTTACCTAGCAGTATGTAGGAATCTGGTTGTTAGTCGATTAGTAGATCGCTTTCCGAGGGTAATAATTCCTTAAAAAAAAACTTGTTCACTCAATCCATAACTGTTTGAGATACTGTTGTGTATAATTGTTTGTTGCGTTTCGTTCACAAAATATACAGTCAATTCACTTTACAATATATTTTGAAGCTCTTTGAGATGTCTCAACGACATCATAAGGCATTATCAAGTGCAAGGATTATTATTACTATTAAATTTACTGGTCTCCTGTACAGAAATATAGCATTCTAAAAGATTTCTTTAAAATACATTCAATGCAGCTTGATTCAAGATTAATACAAAGTCACTTATAAATTTCAAATCAGAGCAAAGCAAGCTAGAGCATGAAATTGCTTGAAACACGGCTTTCCTGAAGTACACTGTAGCACACTTCTGGCACCATGTGGCCTACTTTCTTTAGCAACCACCGTGAAACATTGATTTGCGATTGATTGGTAGCTATTTTTTTTGCAGCCCCTTTACAATGTGTTGTCTATTTGGATCCAAGGCACCCCATCATAATAGGATTATTACACCACATTATTGCATAATGGTAAAAAAAAATTAGCCACTGGCAAGTCAAATTCTTCCCTTTAAAACCTCACAAATCACAAGTGTGTTACAACTTTTTTGCTTAGTATATTTTGTCATGGAGACTTACTGCTCTTTTGTTATTGTGGTAGATTCCCAAACTGTAACCATTATAGTATTATGCAGGCCATTTGCAAAATTCCCACACAGGCGCGGTTTTGAACTGGGAACTTGTTTCTGAAAATTAAAGATTACATTGTTATTCCTTCTTTAAAAAAACGGAAGTACTATAAAACCAATTATTCAGATCAAAGGAAGTTCAAATTTAACTGATTTAAAATCACTTAATTTTTGTAATAACACATTTTCTTGACTACTCTAAGTGATGTACTCATAAATTACATTGAACTAGTCATCAGGCATGCTTAAAGATGGCTCATTACTGAAGAGAGAAGTGCCAAGCTTCACTTTGACATTATCCACAAGTAACACAATTAAAGTTTACACAATTAAATTAACCTATTACCAACCAAAAATGTCACCTAAAACCATTTGTAAAACCGTCTGTAAAACCATTTTGCCTTAAAATTGAAGATTGCACAGCCTTATGGAAAAAACTATGAATTCAGTCCTAACTTGGAAGCTAGGTTTTCAGCATTACTTAAAAAAAAGCTTCCAAGTTAAAACAATTTAAAATATTTCCACAAGTAAGTTTGCACCATCTTAAATTTTAAGGCAAAATGTTCTTACAGGCTCGACGGGTTAAATTTTGGTCCTAACATTTTGTCTTGTCAAACGAGAGCAAATAAAGGTTTACCAAACAACTCTTATGGGCAACTGTTTTCCTTAAGATGCAATTATTATACAATTTTACCATTTAATAATTTGAAGGTGAAAATAAATCTGAGTAAATATCATTATTATTAAATATTGAAAGCAGATCATCTCCATGTTTTCAGTAAACAGTTAATGTAGTACCTGTAAATTAGAAATAGTAAACAAGAATATTGTAAATTAACAAACTCTAGAAAAACAAAAATGAAACTTAGAAGCATCAGGCTACCTCTGTCGGCAATCATAGAGAATTAGAGTAAACTGGAAGGTACTAGGATTATCTACATTACAGAAGCACAATAATAGAAAGAACCATACAAATTTACAGCACAGAAGTTCATTTTGGACCATCGTGTCTGTGATTAACTACTGTAGCAACATTTTGCTGTACAAATTTCCAATTATTCACTTGAAGAATGAGGATATAACATGAAACCCACTCCTATTAATAGTTCTAGTTTACAAAACAAAATCACAGAATTTTCTGCAGGCTTTGAGTAGAATCACTCGCTACACTTTACAGTAAAATCTTGTGAATCACTTTGAGACACTTTGACGACATAAGGCGTTTATCAAATGCAAGAATTATCAGTTTTATTAAATAATAATCCTTGCATTTGATATAGCGCTTTTCACGTCTTCTAGATCTCGTCTCAAAGAGCTTTACAGAATATACTGTAAAGTGAATTGACTGTATATTTGTGGGCGAAATATGCATAAATTAAATAATATCAGAATGGCAGCATAATCCCCACCTCATTGTACTTCTGCATAATGTTATATGGTATAGCTTACTATTATATTAGACATCTTTCACTTTATGTTTCCTGCTGTTCATAAACAGATTTCATGTTAAATAGTTAATAAATTGTATTTATTATCGGAGGTCTACAGATTACTTGGACAGGAAATTCCACAATGCAGACAAAAGTAGAGAAAGACTCTAATGTAATAGGACTCACATTTATTGACATCCTTTTCAATTTCTGAGCTGAGTCGTCCAGATCCTCCAGGTCAGATTCACAAACACCACTCGATGAATCTGCCTCACTAAATTCCTCCTCTTCATCCTCCTCATCCTCCTCTGATACACCATCGATCTCAAAATCTTTATCTTCGGACACGTCGTCAAAATCGTCATCACTGAATTTTTTCCTCTTCCTTCCTTGTCTTCGTTTGGGAGGTGACTGGGGCTGGCCTTGGGATTGGTCACGATCACTGTTAGCATTCGCACTGTCAGTTACCTCGTCTACAAGGTGAGTCGGTGATTTTATTTCTGCCACTATTTCATGCAGGTAAAGCAAGGCACTGAAAGAAAATATAATACAAGTTAATACTTTACGCAGAATAAAGTCATACACTGCAGCTCAAATTACATAGTGCAATTTCACTTCAGTTTCAAGTAGCATTGTTCTGCCATTGGCACAATAGCAAAAAAATGTGAAGTGGCACATTTTGGTAGCATAAATAGGGAAAGGAAACATCCCTTAAATGGTAAGATTTTAAATGGAGTGGGAGAGCAGAGCGACCTTGGTATAGCAGTGATGAAAAGAATACAGCATAGCTTTACTAGGATGTTACCAGGCCTGGTGAGTTACTGCTATCAGATTGTATAGGTAAGGACTTCCATTGCTAGAGATGTTTGGAGGGGACCTAATAGTTTCACACACACTGGGTAACGAGGATTAACCCTCTAACTGCCTCTCTCCAGTTACACACACACAGGGTAGCGAGGATTAACCCCCTCACTACCTCTCTCCGGTTATGTGGAGTCCTGTAGCTTAGTGGTTTAGCGCGCTTGGACCCGGGTTCGATTCCCGCCAGGGTGAAATGTTGGCCAAGTTTCCTTACTCCACACGCCTTTGTTCACCTAGCAGTAAGTAGGAATTGGTTGTTAGTCGATTGGCGGATTGCTTTTCCAGAGGTAATATCTGCCTTCAAAAAAAAATTGGGTCACTCAATCCAGGACTGTTTGTGGGACACTGCTGTGCGCAATTGGCTGCCTCATTTCACCCCCAAATGTACATTCACTGAACCTTACAGTATATTCTGTGAAGTGCTTTGAAACGTCTCGAAGACGTGATAAGGCGTTATATCAAATGCAAAGATTGTTATTAGTATAACATATCTGCCAATGACAGTAACTTTCCTAAGGTTAACAAGACAGTGAACCACCAAGACAAGATTATCTCTTACGCCCTCGCTGCTCTCCTCTTCGGTCGTCCGCTTGCTGTTAATTCTTCGTCTGCACCACTTTCGTCTAACAACCTCTGGACAATTGGCTTCAATAGTCCATGTGTGTCAGTGTTCTCTTCCTTTGGCACCATTTCACTTTTCGGTTTTCTTCCTCTTTTCTTTGGAATCTTCACAGGTTGAGGAGTCCCCATGTCACCACCATTCTCAGTACTAATAATGCCTTCTGCACAATGATGTGCCTGGTCTCCTTCAGCAGACACTACCTCTGCATTTTTAGGTTTTCTTCCCCGTTTCTTCGGGATCTTCACTGCCTGAGGTTCTCCCACCTGACTGCTGCCTCCATTCTCAGTACTAATAGTGCCCTCTGCAGATAGAGGTTGTGCCAGGCCTCCATCAACAGGCACTTCGTTCACCTGTTTAGGTTTTCTTCCCCGTTTCTTTAGGATTTTCAAAGGCTGAGGAGATCCCATCGGACTGTCGCTGCCATTCTCCACGCTGATAGTGCTTTCTGCAGAGAGATGATGTGCCAGGACTCCATCAACATGCATTTCCTTCGCATGTTTAGATTTTCTTCCTTGTTTCTTTGGGATTTTCACAGGGTGAGGTGTTCCAATCTCACTCCCACCACCATTTTCAGTGCTGCTGCAACTCAGAATTGTTTTCCCACCTATCTCTATTATACATTTAGGTTTCCTTCTCCGTTTCTGAGGGAGAATCACAGGCTGAGGACCCGTTTCACCTGAAATAGCGTTCAAGGAGACATTACAGTCTTCTGTTGATTGATTACATATCAATCCATCTTTCTCTTCTTTGACTATTTTTCTGGGTCTTCCCCTTTTTCTACCAGTACTTTGCGGGATGGTACCGGTAGTTAGGCAAGGCTGATCTGCAGACAACACAGAAGGAATCTCGATATTCTCATCCAATCTTGTTACCATGTTATAATCGGTTTCCTGTGTTGTACCAGCAGAATGACAAGGTTCATCTAAAGACGCTCTAGAAGGAATCTCAGTATTGGTGTTTGATTGCTCTCCTTTTTTACAAGCACTTTGTTGTCGAGATGCTGTATCCATTGTTAACAGATTGAAATCTCCTGAAGAGACTTCAGCATCTATTACAGTACTGTCATCAGCATTGGAAGGACTATTTGTAAATTGCAAGTTGTGGTCCAACTGATGAGAATCTGTTTGAGCGATTTTCCTCTTTGCTAGGTCCGTACATTCCTGCAAAGAGTTTGTGTCTGTGGTGGACACATCACTTGTAAACGTTAGGCCAGGAATCTTATTTTGTCCAGGCTCAATAATCTGAGTGGACATTTCACACCGTGCAATGTTTTCAGTGGGGGTTCCCATGCTACAGTCACTAGATACCATATTATCGATCTTTATTTGAGAAGGAATGTCCCCACTAGCTTGTGTGATTTCCAAGGATATGCCCATTTTTTGCGCTTCCTCTGCATCCGTCTCGCATGCTTCCTGAACATTTGGTTCCATAAATGTATTTTCCTTGTAATTTTCAGGCAGTTAAGCTCAGGCTCAGCAATTTCATTAAACTCTTGAAAGACAAATAGGAAAACAGAATTAACCGTTGCACACAGTACAATACAATTTACATTTATATAAGACCTGCCATGACTAGACAACATCTCATGCAGTCTAAAACGTTACAAACCACAATTCTAATGGAAGATTCACCTTAAAGTCCATTTGTAAATTTACACAGCAGCTAATCTCAGAGCAATGCTATAATAATACTTGGATTTAAATAAAGCATGTTGTATATCAGGTAGATGTTCCAAAGCAGTACATAATTATACTGTAAAGTATAGGGACTGTGTATTTCGTGGAGTCCTGTAGCTCAGTGGTGAGCGCTCGCTTTGCAAGTGAGAGACCTGAGTTCAATTCCATGCAGGTCAGGGCAAAACCTTGGGCAAGTTTCCTTACTCCACACAGAGCCTAATAATAATCCCTCCAAAAAACCAAAAACAATAATAAATTGGTCATTTTCAATCTACGACTGTTTGTGGGACATTGCTGTGCGCAATTGGCTGCCGCGTTCACCCACAAATATACAGTCAATTCACTTTACAGTGTGTTTCTGTGAAGCGCTTTGGGACGTCCTCCCAACATGAAAAGCGCTATATCAAATGCAAGGATTATTATTATGATTATAGGTGAATGTGGAGCCAACTTTGCGCACAGAAATGGCCACAATCAGCCATGACCAAATTAATTTTAGGGATTATGGCCAGAACATCAGAGAAACTCCATTCTCTTTCAGAACAGTACCAGACAGGAGCTTGGTTTTAATATCTCATCTGAAAGATGGAATCTCCAACATTGCAGTTCACCCGCACACTGTATTGCACCATCAGACTAGAGGTTAGAGCACTCGCCTCGCAAGCGAGAGGACCTGGGTTTGATTCTCGGACAGGGCAAAAAGTTGGTCAGGTTTCCGTACCCCCCATTCCTCTGTTTACCTAGCAGTAAGTAGGAACCCGGTTGTGAGTTAATTTGCGGATCGCTTTTATGGGGGTAATAATCCCTTAAAAAAACAATTTGGTCGCACGACTGTCTGTGGGATACTGCTGTGCACAATTGGCTGCCGCGTTTCGCCCACAAAATAAACAATCAATTCACTTTATAGTATATTCTGTGAAGCGCTGAGACGTCTCGAAGACGTGATAAGGTAATATATCAAATGCAAGGATTATTATTATTATTATTGAACTCACAGCCTTCTGACTTTGAGTGCTACCAACTAAGCCAGGTTAACACCTAAGTAAATTATGCCTGATATACCTCAGTAAATTGAAACAGCACACATGACAATCATCTGATCGTGCACTATCCTGGTATAATGTCGCAATCAAAGGACAGTAATGTAGCAGGCCCTCAGTACTGATAGGTTATGCACTAGATGACTAGAGTGTTAGTCTAGATTTCTATAGTCTCTAAAGCTCAGGAACAATTGTACTTGATCATCTTGATGGTCTCCAAGTGAAACTAACAATTATTGTTGAGCCAAGCAACTCATGCCTACGTAATGTTGCATTGAAGTGTGAATAAATACTTCTGTGAAGTAACTGTATTTGTATTACTATTTAATAACAATCCTAGCGTTTGATATAGTTCCATAACACATCAAAATGCATTCAGCTTTCTGTAAAAGGTAGTAATTGTGTATTTTTAGGCAAATACACAATCTATTCCTAAACTGATGGAGATAGTGCAATTTGAGACAGTGTTCCAGTTTTCATATAAATATATTTGATAAAAATTGAAGGGAACTGGTTTTAACTATTTTCAAAGGAGAAAACAAATGAAAGATTCCTAATCTAATCCAGTCCACTGATTTCCGCCAGTGCTGAAGAGATACTACAATTGGCTTCGGTATCTCTGGACTGCGGGGCATCGAGGAAGTCCTCCCGGCTACACAAATGTAATTTTATTGTTGTTGTGACTGTGTTCTTGGGGGTCCAGTGAGAAAAGAAAGCTTTCTGTGATCCCACCCATTGTAAATTGGTCCTAAAACTATCCGGATTGAACACCCAAATACTAAGGTCAGCCTGTCTCGACTGGTTGCATTCTTGCCACTGAGTCAGAAGGTTCTAGGCTTACATCCCCATTGACACTCCAGTGCAGTTGTTTCACACGTCCATAAAAACCGTAAGAGTTGGTAACTGTAATGTTCTGACAAAACACCTCACTTATTCAAATTCAATTTAATTACATTTGGTTATACACTTTTTTTTTTGCTGTTGCAGGCATTATATATCTTGACTTGTTTGTCCTCTTCATAATAGCAACAACACCTCAAATAGCTTCGGAGACATTTCAATGTGATAAGATTACATATCTGAACACAAGAGGCCTACAACTCCCTCCCAAATAAAACTGGTCATTCACTTCATGGCACTTTGTTGGACATCACCATGTGCAAATTGGCTGCCTTATTGGCTTACCAACAACAACAACAACACCAAAATTACATTTGTATAACGCCTTTCACGTCGGGAGGATGTCCCAAGGCGCTGGACAATCAGTGTTTCGGACCCAGGCTGGGGACCAGGATTGGGGAGGGTGGAGGGCAGGGGGTGAAGCAGGGTGATCAAAAGCATGGTCGAAGAGAAGGGTCTTGAGAGAGCTTTTGAAGGAAGCAAGGGAAGGGGTGAAGCGGAGGGACTGCGGGATGGAGTTCCAGAGGGCGGAGCAAAATGGCAGAAGGCCGCCTGCCAATGGTGGGGCAGGTGAGGCGGGGGACGTGAAGCAGGCTGGAGCCCGCTGATTGGAGGGAGCTGGCAGGATGGTAAAGATTTAGGAGGTCGCAGAGGTAGGGGGGGCTTTGAAGATGAGGACCAGGATCTTGAACTGCATCCTCTGAGTGATGGGAAGCCAGTGGAATTGGGCGAGGATGGGAGCGATAGGGTCACGTTGCCTGTTGAGTGAGAGAACACGGGCTGCAGAGTTCTGGATGATCCGCAGCCTATGGAGGGAGGAGTTGGGGAGGCCAACAAGCAAGGAGTTTGCATAGTCGAGCCTCGATGTAATGAAAGCATTTATGAGGATTTCGGCAGCCTGCCGTGTGAGACAGTGGCAGAGCCGGGCGACGTTGCGGAGGTGGGGGAAGGCAGAGCAGGTCATGGCGCAGATGTCGGGTAGAAAGGACAGTTGAGGTCCAAACAAGACCCCAAAGTTCTGGACTGGCTTAGCGAGATGGAGTGTGCAACCATGGATGGTGATGCTGTCAGTGCCTGAGGTGAGGAGGCGCTGACGGGAGTCAATCAGGAGAGCCTCGGTTTTGTTGACGTTCAACTGAAGAAAGTTAGCTCTCATCCAGGACTTGATGTCTGACAGATATTCAGTCAGGACAGCAGTGGTCCTGGAGTCGAGGGTAATGGTCACACTTCACCAGAAAATCTGTCGAAGTTGTTTGAGACCTTTTGCTGACGATGATAAGACACTATAGTATATCAAATACAAAGATTATTACGATCATCACTAGTTGGGCAAAGTATAGGGAAGATCCAGGGAAGTAATCAATGGCGGTGGAACTATTTGTCAACAAGAATCAATGCCTTCAGGTGAGGAGAAAGTGGAAAGTAAAGATATATAACAATAATCCTTGCATTTGATATAGCACCTTATCACATCATTGAGATGTCTCAAAGCGCTTCACAGAATATATTGTAAAGTGGATTGACTGCATACTTTGTGGACGAAACTCAGCAGCCAATTGCACACACAGTCGCGGATTGAATGACCAGATTTTTTTTGAGGGATTATTAAGTCCAGGAAGCGATCCGATAATTGACTAAGAACCAGGTTCCTACTTGCTGCCTGGTACGCAAAGGCGTGTGGAGTACGGAAACTTGCCTCAGGTTTCACCCCCAGGCCGTCGTCAACAACAACAACAACAACAACGTGCACGTATACAGGGCCCTCCGCGCAGGGCCGCGTCTCAAGGTCCCTTCGCTCGCACGGCGAACGCGCCAACCCACCAACAGCAGCCCCTGCAGTACGCCACGGCACGTTTAAACGGTCATGTAAATAAGTTAAGAAAAAAAAAGTGGAGACCCTCACGAAAGACAATCTGCCCCAAAGGAGGGCTGTGAGTGTAAGGCAGTCTCCGGGGGATGGGGAGGAGCCTCTGTCGCACACAGCCTGACTGAAGGCAGGGCGGGGCGGGGGAGGGGAGGGGAGTGGGGGGGTAACAGGGACCGGCGGGGCCCGCAGCCCCAGGTCGGCCACTCCAGGGGGAGTGTAACCGGGCGGGGGTTGGGGGGGGGTGGGCGCGGGGGCCGCGGTGACACGCAGCGGTACCTGGTCTCATCTCACCCCCCCCCCTCCCGGCGTCTCCTCTCACTGGACGGACGAGGCCCAGCAGCACGTGCCGCTGCCGCTGCCGCTCCCCCACCAGCTCACAGGCCACGAGCTTCCGCCTCGCTCTCTCTCTCCTCTCTCTCCTCTCTCTCGCGCTCCCCCGAGCCGCCGTACTGGGCGGACCCCGCAGCGCAGCGCAGCGCCCGGCAGGGCAGGGCAGGGCGGGGCGGGGCGGAGTAGGCCGCTCGGTGATTGGCGCCGCCGCCGACCACAGGCCGCCCCACACCAGGCGCTGAGTGACGGCCACACGGCCTGACTGACAGCGGCCTCGACCAATAGAATTCACCAAGCGTGCGGAGGGGGCGGGGCCGGTGACGTTCAGATGACGCTCGCTTCCGGCGGAAATTGCGTTGATGTAAAACACCTGCCCTGCTCCAATAGCAACGAGGGTACGTTTGGATACAACAACAACGACAACGATTACATTTGTACAGCGCCTTTCACGTCGGGAGGACGTCCCGAGGCGCTGGACAGTGTACAGCATTGCAGACCCGAGCCGGGGTCAGAGGGTGTCAGGGGGGGGTGGCCGATGCCATGGTCAAAGAGGAGGGTCTTGAGGCAGGACTTGATGGAGGCTAAGGAGGGGTGAGGCGGAGGGACTGGGGAATGGAATTCCAGAGGTTGAGGGCAGTGGCTGAAGGCTCTCCCACCAATGGTGGGCGGGTGGGTCGGGGGACGTGGAGCAGCCAGAGGCAGCTGAGAGGAGGGAGCAGGCGGGTTGGTAGGGGGTTAGGAGGTCGCAGAGGTAGGGTGGGGTGAGGCCATGGAGGGCTTTGTAGGTGAGGGTTAGGATCCTGAACTGGATCTTTTGAAGGATAGGGAACCAATGGAGTCGGGCGAGAATGGGGGAGATGGGGTCACAGAGTTTGGTGCGGGAGAGGACACGGGCTGCAGAGTTCTGGATTATCTGCCGCCTGTGGAGGGAGGAGTTGGGAAGGCCGACAAGCAGGACGTTTGCATAGTCGAGCCTGGAGGTGATGAAGGCGTGAACAAGAGTTTCAGCGACCTGAGGGGTGAGGTAGTGGTGGAGTCGGACGATGTTTCGGAGGTGAGGGAAGGCAGAGAGGGTCAAAGCTTAAATGTGGGGAAAAAAAGACAGTTGAGGGTCGAACAAGACACCTTAAGCAACTGAAATAATAACAATAGTAATCCTCAATGAAATCAAGGCTTAAATACAATAATAATCCTTGCATTTGATATAGCACCTTACCATGTCTCCGAGAGCCTCAAAGCTCTTTACAAAATATACTGTAAAGTGAATTGACTGTATATTTGTGGACAAAAGTTGGCAACCAGAAACCGTCGTGGATTGAAATGACCAAATTATTGTTGTTTTTGAAGGAATTATTATCCCCAGAAAAGTGCTCCGCCAATCGACTAACAACCGGGTTCCTACTCACTGCTCGGTCAACAGAGACGTGTGAAGTAAACTTGCTCAACGTTTTGCCCTACCCGGGAATAGAACCCAGGTCTGTCGCTTGCGAGGCGAGTGCTCTAACCACTGAGGTACAGGACTCCACATAGTGACAACGACTGAATTAGTATCATCACTGCTAAAGAATCATCCTTGAAGTTGTGGATAGGATGGCATGTTTGACAGATTTCAATCAGATAACCAAGTAGTGACTATCCTCCTTGGTGGTGGGAGGGGGGTGAGGTAAGTGGGATCTCCTTGGAGCTGAACTGGCTCCAATGTGACTTGCCTGGTAATGGAAGGTCGGAAACGAGTCACACCTCTGGCTGTCTCGGTTGTCTGGTTTCTTAGCCAGGTGGATCCGCAGTATTCCAGGGTAATGCTGATGACAGCACAGCCAGCCTGACTAGTCGGCAGGACTTGGAAGAGCAGACCAGTCACTGGGGCCAGGGAGTTATTCCACTCAGCTGCTGCTAACCCAGCAAGCCAAAGCCCTTACAGGTAGGGTGGTCCTAGCTGGTCAAGCAGTAGGAAAGCTTGTCAGATAGTGATATCAATGGCAAGCTATGTGGTTTTAGATGGTTAAACTCCAGCAGTACCTGAACACACACTCTGGGTTTGGCTCTTGCTAACCTACACCTAATACTTACTCAAATTAGATAAGCAGGATGCGTCTTTCCAGGGAGTGCGCATTTCATTCAAGGCACAGGAATTTCCATTTATAGGTGGCATATATGGAACTGTTTGGATTTCCAACTAATATTCTTCTGCCTGACCCCACATTTTTTAATGTTAAATTAAATCTGCATTAGTTCTGCCCACACACAATCTTTCTATGAATGTTTTCCTTATCTTCACAATTTACACCTCCTAATTTAGTGTCATCCACAAACTTAAAAATAGATCCCTCTAATGTATCCATGTCATTGAGCGAAATGCTGGAATACACCACTTTTCATTGCTTAGCAATCATTTAAAAAATCAATTCTGCCTCCCATCTTCCAATTAATTTCCTATTCATAACTTTTTTGTACAACTGTGTGCAGTAATTTAGCTAGTAATCTTTTATGTGGCGCTTTATCAGATATTTTCTGTGAATAAAATACTTTATAAACAAGCAAATTATATCATGTAACAAATAAAATTAACTTTTTATTAAAAGCCTATTTGCTAACAATAGCTTATATCAAGGGATTGTTATGAATAACAATGTCCCTTTCAATAAATTCTTGGGGCAACAGATACAGCAAATGCCTTCGGTGTCATTTAAAATGCTTTACTGCATTCTTACAAATTAACAAGACAGTCATTGAGGTTAAATAATCACATTACAGATAAAATCAAACATTCAAAAAATTTGTGAATTTTGAAGTGTTCCTTAATGTACCTTTTAGTGTAAAAAGCACAAAATGTATAACTGTTTTAACTGTTACATTCATTCCTCCATGAAGATAAAAACAGCCTCTCTTTGTGAAGATAAAAGCAAGACTTTGTGAAGCACTGTACTTAAAAATACTGTACCTGTACTAAGGTAGCGTACTGTTTAAAGGCACATCACATGGTTCTTTGAATATACCATTGATTTTGAAGAGGCACCATCCTCTCGGTTAGTTTACAAAGGCTGTAACTCAAAAATGGCATCAACTAAAGATTGAAAGTCATCCATTACTCTACATCCTACATGGTCACATCTATTATTTATGAACACTAGCTCTTTTAAAAAAAAGGCAGTTTTAAAAACTACCCTCCATAAAGAGACTGTAAGAAATACCTCTTTATTAAAATGTTGTATTCAGGCTTTTCAGGGTTTAATAGTTCTGAAAGCTACAATATCTTTTGGTTGTGCAGCAATGAGGAACTGGGAACTAATTATACCTTTACCGTTAGGTATGCGGTTACCAGCTGTAAATTTAAAGACGGGTCCATTACAGCTTAATACAGTATCAGGAAGTGCATCAGTTTAGCAGCAAATTTTGAAAAGCTTACTCAAGCTTGCTACCAGCTCTTGCCTTGTATCTGAACAGTTTTCAAATACAGCCTCAGTAGACAAATCGATAAAGGATAGTGTCTCTCTAGCAAACAGGTTGGCCAGCTTGGAAAGGAGCTCCCTTCTCCAGGGAGGAAACATTTTATAATCATGTTAATAAAACAGTCAGGTCGATAACTAAACAATATCAAGGCGATTGCACTCAGCAGAGAAAAAAACAGGTTTTTATCAGAATTAGCTTGTATAGCCAATTTTAACAATCTGGTTTTACTTAATAACCCTTGCATCTGATATAACATCTTTGAGATGTTTCAAAGCGCTTCACAAGATTTACTGTAGAGTGTGGTGACTGTATTTTGTTGGCAAGCTACAATTGTGTACATAAGCATACAGTAACTGGTGATGGACTGTAAAACAGGTTTTATTAAAAGTATTTACATCATTGCTTATGTGTAATTATGGGTTAACTTGTCCAGTGTGAAAATTGTTGCATTGAATAACCTTGATGATGTCCCAAAAAACTATATTCGGATGCCTAGCAGGTTTGTCACAATATCATAAAACAGCTTAAACTACCAGCAACACACTGAAAATAACTGGGAGGATTTATTTTCAAAAATGATTATGTCTAAATTCTATCTAATCTATAAACAAAATACACAGTGGGGTACAGTAAAATTCAAAGATTTACACTTGCATTATTTGGGAGCTATGAGGTATTCCTTACGAGTGGACCAAACTTGATATTCCACTATTTCTAACATATCCTCTAAAGTAATAACTTGACATAGATCACATCAGTCAGTAAACCAATGTTTTAATGTCATGCACGTGTAGACTCCTCTCGAACTAACAGGTGGGAAATTTTATTTACGGTGCTTTTGGATAATTACCAAAGTGCCACATGTAACAGCCACCAAAACTACCATCTATGTACGATACAAATCTACAATTTCTCCTTGTAACAAATTGCTACACTTCAATCTTACAATAAGTGTTATCAGCACTGGATCCTAAGAAATTAAGGCGTTATAATGTCAAGACTACTCAACAACTAGTCTTTGTAAGAAGAGGCCTGGGATACTTGTGTTTACCACAATAAATATCATTCTTTCTCCCCATGTCTATGCAGGTGATTTCTGGCGGTAATATCTAATCTGAAAATGTACTTTACCCTCTAAATGTGGATTAAGTAGCAACTTGTATGGTACTTAAAAATGCAGCTCTGCCTTTCATTCTCTTTACCCTCCATCCCACATACATAAATACAGCACCAGTGACTTCCTAGCGTTTTTCAAATTGGTGGTGTATAAAAACAGAATAGGAACATATTTGCCTGAATGACACTTGTTCAAACTGAGTCTGGATTCCCCAACTATACTGAGGTATATATTGATTATTGTCATCCCCTCCTTCCCTCTCTCAAGCCTCTGATGCAATGATTGCATCATGTTGACACAATTTATTTATAACCATTAAACAATTTTAAGGTGGGAGGTTTACAATACAAATCCAAAAACACATTCAACATTTTCACCCACTAAATTACAGACATATTCTGGACAATTTATTCCCTTTTCCAAGCTCGTTTTGAATCAATATCTGAACAGAATTTTCCCTGGAATCAATGCACTAGGGTCTGACACCTGTGTAAATGGGACTATAGACACGATTTATGTAAAGAAGCCTTATGGATATATGCATCCAAGTTATGATTGTTTGCAGAACTGTTAAAACCAACGCTGTCAGATGCTTTCGCTGCAAACCTACACAATCTGCTCAATTTCCCCACATTCAACAAAGACACTTATTTTTTGACCCGACCAGTCTTCAATTCAGCTTTTGCACTAGGCCTTTTAATGCGCCAATTTTGTATTCTTTCTTCTTCCTCCTGGTCATCCTCACTGTCAGTAAACTTGTACTGATCTTTCTCTTTTGAAGGTTCATGGACCTTTTTAAGGAAACTGTTCTCGCTCACAGACATCAGTTGTGAACTTTGTTTCTTGCTAACTTTTGGAGATAATTTTTTCTTGATTGAAGTCTTAGATGTTTTTTTTATTTGTTTTTTCTTGGTTTTTACCAAGGGCTTGAACTCTTTAGCTGCTTTGGAGGTGGCCAGAAACCAATCCTGCCAGAAAAATAAACATTAAGCAAAACAATGTCAGTTTATAAGTGCAAATGTTGCTTTGACAACAGTGTGAAGTATGTCATAGAATACAAGACTTTGGATGCTTTAAAGTTTTTAAAATCAGAAATCATCAGTGTCCTCCAATCTTTCTAGATATTTAATCGTGTCCTACCATTGGGTCTATTAATATTAATAATCCTTGCATTTAATATAGGGTCTTATCACAGCGTTGAGACGTCTCAAAGTGCTTCACAGGATTGATTGAATTTTTGTGGGCGAAATGCGGCAGCCAGTGTGCACAGCGATGTCCCACAAATAGCCACGGAGTGAGTGACCAATTAATATAGACAAAACAGTTTTTATTTTGATCCTGTAATTTATGTGGAAGTGCTGCCATCATCAGAGCATGAGTTCATGGAACCAAGCCTCCATTTTACAGCAGGATCAGCCTGTATGCCTAGAGACAGTACTTTTCAGGGTTTGATTTCAATGAAGAGTTTTGTTAGGTGCTCTTCCAGACCTCAATGTCTATAAAGCCACATCTTGTGCATCACCTTTGGTTCGTAGACCAAATGGCAGCAGAGAAACTTGTTTATTATTCAGAGATTCTGAGAAACCAGTTTATCTGAAAATAATCCTCTATAGTGCAACGCCCTAAAATGAACAAAGCTCCTAGATATCTCCTCCAAACCATAACACCCCCTCTCCCACTTAATTTAAAATTGAGCTAAAATAAGTTCGAAGAATTAAAAAAAAATTGAAGAGGAAGGATATTAATGGGTATTGGGAAAGAGCAAGGAATTTGTATTAGTGTGAATGGTTTCTTGGAGCAATCACTATCACAAAATAACAGATTGAATGGCCTCTTAAAAATGTTGTATATCATACATTTCTATGGCCACCTGGAAGCTGAAATAAAAAATTCAGAGTCCAAATGTGCGGTAAGCAGACCTGCAATTACTTTGGCGTCCTCATATATGGAGCCATTGTTTAAGGTTTCTCAACCATTAAAGAGTCAAGTTATATCGAAACAGAGATTAATGAAAGCAGTGGTTACTTGGATGTGACCTGGGCTTATTGCTATTGTTGTCAGATACTGCAAAGGGAAAGTGCATTTACCTGAGAATGCACGTTATTGATGTGGTACTTCACTCCACTCTCTGAGCTGAATTCCTTTTCACAGATCAGACACTTGTACTTTCCAGCAACATACTCCCCCTAGTGGTTCAACAAACAAATACCATGATGATCAGGTAGTGAAATTACATACACAAAAGCTACCGCACACTGAAGACACCTCATCTCTTCATCTTAAACCAGCACTTCAAAATAAGGAGCTGAAGTGTCAGTCTTTCATATTCTCATTTTTTTAAAAAGCAAGATTTACTACACAGTTAAATGTGATGCGTGTGTGAACAAAGCACTGCATTAATTGCATAGTACCTCTGACCCATAATTAACAAGTGAGGGTTTATTACAAAGCTCCACTCAGTAGTAATAATAAATTTCTCGCAGTAAGTAAAGCAGAAGCACCACTACTTCATATACTGAATATTTCCCAAAATGTAATACTGGCACACAATTCTAGAACAATTCGCAAACTAAACTATTTTGAAATAAAAGGTATGGGCATTCTTCCTTATTGTGTATCATTAATTCAACGATCCAAATGTGGTCTTTTTTTTCGTTTATTAACTGCATAGTTATAGTCACTATACGCTATTCTGAAACCCCCATTACTGGTGCCATTGAAAAAACCCTAGGTCCCATCCCATGCCCCATGCCGATTGAGACAACCTGCTGCAAAGTGCTATGACATGCCATGACAGTGGAAACAGGGATTCGTGCAATGGAGGATAATGGTCGTGAATGGTCCCACCAGTACTTGATGAGTGTTTCACTGTGCTGCACCACCTTTGAAAATGTGGCTGGCTGCCTGAAAGTGCATCCACAGTACTAAGAAGATTAATTTGGTGTAGCTGTTTTGACCAAATTGGCAGTGGCATTTAACACAAACGAAACTTCATAAAATCACAGTAAAGCTAGAAACAAAATCTCTGGGATAATTCTGTAAAATACTTCAATTTAGTAACTAGCAATAACTTGCTAAATTAACCCCTTACAGTTTGAGATGATTTCAGTTAATGTTCTTGAACAGACTGACACAAAAGGCAACGGCTTTGAATTAATCTTATCAGTTCCCAGGAATATAAATAACTGGAACAATAAGCATGCCTCCGATCTCCTTTATGGTATTAAAACAATGCGTCAGAAGCCTATCATCAGTCTATTAAACAGAACAAATAATTGAGTGCATTTATTCTTGATTATCTTTTTTTTAAATAGAAAAGAGAAATGGTTACACTCACCTTTGTACAAGATCCAAGATGAGCCTTCAAGCCTGACACACTGGTATAATGAGCATCACAACCCTAATGAAATAAGATTGTGTGTCATTAATTCAATGATCCAAATGTGGTCTTTTTTTCCTTTATTAAAAGGAAAGACAAGTTGTTGCTTGATACAAAGGAAATGAAGCAACAACACCCGTTTATATTGCACTGTTCACTTAGGTAGCGTCTCGGGAGCATTTTAAAGGAATGGAGTTGGATGCCAAGCGGGGGGGGTGGGGGGGGGGGCTGGAGATGGTAATAAGCACATTCGAAAAGGTAGGATTTCAGGTTGGATAAAGACAGAAAGACAGGGGTGAGATTGGTAGAGTTCCAGAGGTTCGGATGTTGGCTAGGGTGGAGAATGCACAGCAAGTCAGAGATAGCTGACAAGAAGAATAACAACAAGATTACATTTGTACAGCGCCTTTCACGTCGGTAGGACGTCCCAAGGCACTGGACAGTGTGCAGCATTTCAGACCCGAGCTGGGGTCAGGGGGGGAGAAGGGAGGGGAGGGGAAGGGGGGTGGCCGATGGCATGGTCGAAGAGGAGGGTCTTAAGGCGGGACTTGAAGGAGTCTAAGGAGGGGTGAGGCGGAGTGATTGGTGGTTGGAATTCCAGAGGTTGGGGGCAGTGGCTGAAGGCTCTCCTGCCAATGGTGGGGCAGGTGGGTCGGGGGACGTGGTGCAGGCCAGAGCCGGCTGAGCGGAGGGAGCGGGCGGGTTGGTAGGGGATTAGGAGGTCACAGAGGCAGGGTAGGGCGAGGCCATGGAGGGCTTTGTAGGTGAGGACAAGGATCTTGAACTGGATCCTCTGAAGGATAGGGAGCTAATGGAGTTGGGAGAGAATGGGGGAGGTGGGATCACGGAGTTTGGTGCAGGATTTGGAATAGGGTAGTAGAGGTTAGAGATGAGCCAACAGGGGGTGTATGGATTTCTGGGCGAGGGCCAGAGGGCCATCTGCATTGTATGCAAGTGGAGGCAAATAAATAAGCTGATATCTATTTTATCCTGAGAGGAATCTGAGACTCCACCACAGACTACTCTTTACAGCAGAGCCTATTGTGGATGCAAAGGGCTTTAAAATCTAACTCATACAAGTGTACAATGCTAAATGTTTCTGAGTTTACCTTGTTTGGACATTGAACCCTCTTATAGGCTTTCATCTCATTTTTCCATTTGCGAAGCACTTCATGACTGAATGTAGGCAAGCCAGGCCGTGTGTATTTCAACTAAGACAAAGAGAAAAACACATAATCTTCTCAAAGAAAGTACCAGGTGAAATATTTCCGGATATCCAAGCTTTCGATAACAATCACAACAGAAGTATAATGGACAAGGGAAAGCTCACTCTCAATTGCAGGGTCAGAATACCTGATCAGATGTATTTTCTTGGTGCCTTACATTTACAGTATAATTTCCATCATGCCATTTTACTACCTAACAAAATATAATTTTAATATAAAATCATTCCTAAACATTGTCGTCAATATACTGAAAATTGAAAAGATGATGATGAAGAATTGCATGGACATTTTATTTAAAATAATGTTTTTAATAAAACTTCATTAAAAAAAGGAAAATAAGTCCCAAAAGTGCTACTAATAAGGAATCCTCGCCATACCAACAGATATGGAGTCGTCATCAAAACCATGAAAATGTCACATACCTTATCGTCATCAGGTACCAGGTCCCGCTGGATTTTTCTCCGAGGCCATTCCCGAGCAAGCTCATCCGCCACTATCTCATGTAGGTGGTAGGCAGCCAGCTTAGCAGAGCTCCTCCGCACTCGCCCACTGGATGTTCTTTCCACTTCAGGTTCACTCTCTTTCTCAGCAGTTTCATCATCGGTGGTTTCTGGGGACTAATCAGTCAAACAATGCAATTTGGGATACTTCAAGGTGGGTTTTACAACTCATATGTTTAGTACAGAAATATGAACACGAATTACGTAATTTCTCAATGAGATGGGTGTCAACACGTATCAACAAAATGAAGCATCCAGGCACCTGCCCTGCACTAAGTCTTTTTTAAAATATTGTATGTCCATTTCTTTTTCTAGTTTTCTCCCCACTGGCATATACCTCTCCACTCCTGGTTTGGCCTCACATTGGGTGCAAGTCTACAACACCGGTTGCCCGCTGGCACATGCCGAAGTAACCATGGTTCTTGTGTGGGCCTTGGCAGTGAGTGTTCGTATATCACTGGATTGGAGCACAGCCTAACCTGACCTCTCCCGACCCTGCTGAATACAACCAGTAAAGCAAGCTGAAGAGTGACCAGGAACCCTGGCTGCTCTCTCTTCCCTAACCCAGAAGCTAATTTAGCTTCCCCATAAAAATTAGCTTCAGTACCAACCTCAAAACTAAAAACTGAATGTTTCCGGTTGAGGGAGAAAGAAAACATACACCTCCCTGAGGCAGTCATCACTTAATCAGTTTTACTTACAATTGACATAAAATATCAGAGGAACAGGAACACGGTAAGCATATTCACAAGCAAAATTACAAATAATAGTCTCATTAATGCAGACTTACTGATCTTCCAATGGCTAGTGTATAGATGCACCTCATATTGCACTAAGCAAAAGAAACCAGAGGGTAGCAAGGTTCAAACCCCAGTCTCCTCGAATTAAACTGGTCTTAATTCAGGCTTCACAATTGATCTCAGTGCCCTTTGGTCAGTGATGGGAAAGATCCCACCTGACTGTTATTCAAAGATTCCGGTATGAATATCAGGCGATGGTGCCCGAGTATGATAAGCCTTCAAATAGACTTCAAATACTGACTATCACGGCTCACACATGAATAAATGGCCACTTAATTTAGATGACAGTAATTGCCAACCTTTTTCTAAGAAGTTGGGGGAGCAAAGAGTATGTTCTTGTTACACGTCCCACAATATATTGTTAGGTTTGAGAACTGGCATTTAACAAGATGAAAACAATCAATTATATTCCATAGAAATGTAAAATAACATAAAACACATACCGGTGCGTGCTCGGATTTCAAGTGATAATCCAGTCCTGCTTTTGACTTGTACAGTTTGCCACAGTGTTGGCATTTAAACAATTGCTTCACCAGCTCAGACTCTTCCTTGCCGCACTTTTTTAGGTGATAGAGGTAACCCATTATACTTGTGAAGCTGGCAGCACACGCCTACAACAGAGCAAAAAGGTGCATAAGTCAGCAAGGCAATAACAAAGCTCAGGGAAAGGTATATTATTATTAAAGGTAGCATGCTTTATTTGCAATCAGAATGTACCAGGACAATTTGGGAACAAAACATCTGGCAGTCATTTATGACGTGTTCAATATGACAGTTACCATAGGAACTTTGATCAAAAGAGATTGGTTCACCAACATGATTCGCCATATTTTACTCAAGATCTCAAAATACTAAGGACATGTAGGGAGAGTAGGGAAAGAAAGAGTGAAGCAGGGAAGCAATTACTCATTTGGAGTTGGGACGGAAATTAGAGAATAAGATTATCACGTCTTCGAGATGTCTCAAAGCACTTCACAGAATATACTGTGAAGTGTAGTGACTGTGTATTCTGTGGGTAAAACTTATTTTGTGGCACCTAAGCAACACGTCAAAGAATTCAAATTAGTTCAACTAAGGCTAAGCAGATTGCACGCAGGATGGAGGGCAAGGTCAGCTCTCAATCATTACTGTGCTGTCAAAGGAAGGTTGCAAGTCAAAGCCATGTGCTGTCTTATGGAGAGTGGGGAAGAAATACATCAAGAGCAAATCCTTCAGCTTCCGAAGCAGTTTCTGAGCAACATCAATTCGGATGTGTGAGCAACATCAATTCGGATGTGTGCATGTGTGTAGGGGGAGGGGTGGGTAAAGGAGGGTGTATTGAGCCTTGGCTCTCAGCACGACTGGAATTTATTGATTCACTTGTAATAGTAGAAGACACTAACATTGAAATATGAGCGTTCACTCCCAGCTTTGGAGACATTAAAGAAGGCAGCTTTGATCAGGAGACCTTGCATTGTATGGGAAAAAAATTCTAAATAGGTATTAAAGGAACTGGGAATGTTGCTGTTTTTCCAGGAGATTATGTTTCATTCTATGAAATAACAAAAATTTGCATTTACAAAGCACTTCTCACGTCAGTAGGACGTCCCCAAGCACTGGTCCCCAATAAGTCCAAATGCTTTTAAAATTATTTTTTGAGAACCCTGGTGTTCATTCATGTATTACTATGAATAAAAAGAAGTTAAAGTTTGTTAATCATTTAGCTCTTACCTCATGGAGGCACTTCAGTCGCCCCATTCTTTTTAACACCTTGCGGAGTCTATCCCTATCAGACTGCTCATCAAGCTCATCCCCATCTTTCAAAATTGGCTGGGAAGAGGGAAATTCGTATTAGAAAACATTTCAAGGCACAGCAAATTCTAACCTAAGCAGAAAATTAATTATTGTAAACCTCTTTAAAACTCATTTAAATATGAAAATAAATCATAGTATGTAGGCTAATGTTCAGTTAATTTCATCTGACCACATTTGCATGACACTGGATATCCAGAAATGTAGCAGAGCCAAGCATTTTTGTGTTGCACTCAGTGCTGTATGGCTCCTATAATGCATGGTTCAACCGAGCCATCAGGAAGCTTAGCAATCTGAACCTTGAAAGGATGGGGCTATGATCAGTTTAAAGTACTCTTCTATCTATACCAGAATAGTTATTAATAAGTTATCACTATTTAAATTTCTTAAATAAGGATTGCAGAGATCCACTATTAGAGGATTCCCTCCTGATCCGCTCAGGTGAGGAAAACCTATGCACTCAGAGTGGCTCCATTCACTTCAACACTTAAGAGAGTCCTGGTAGCTAAAACAGGAGTCTAACCCGGAACAAAACATTAGCTGGGTACCATATAAACGTACAATATTGTAATAAGCCATTTGATTCATTAAGGTGTCAAAGTTTGCCTCTATCCCAATTTTCTGTTCTTTTTCTGTATCCTCTAATACCACTACATGTGTCTGTCTACTTATTTTTTTAATTGCCCTCAATCCACTCTGCTCAAACAGACACCCCTGTCAAATCATTCTGTACCCAGGCAGGAGCACTGGTTGCAAATCTTCCATCAGAGTGCTCATTGTGACAACATCTGCTGGGTTATAATTTGCTAGATGCTGTTCTTTGCAAATGTTGCTAAGGATTGCTGTGCGATTAGTTCTGAATTCATTTTGTTATCTATGAAAGTTCTTATCTTAAAAGTATTTTCAAGAATGAAGAAATCCCATTAAGAATTGATTGCTGTAGTTTGGAATCTCATTAGATGTAATGAGAAGGTCTTTTATAAGATATGCATCACAACTGACTTGGAGTTTAAGTACTGCCAACCATAATAATAGTACTGCCAAGAAAATCTGAAAAGACCAAGAACTTCAGAAAAGATCTTGATTCATAATAATCCTTGCATTTGACATAGCTCCTTATCACTTTGTCAAAACATCTCAGTGTTTTACAGGATTTTAATGTGAACAACAACGGACATCCCAAGGTGCTGGACAGTTAGTGTTTCGGACCTAAAATGAGGGTTGGGATTGGGGAGGGTGGAGGGCAGGTGGGGGAAGGAGGTTGACCGAAGGCATGGTCAAAGTGGAGGGTCTTGAGATGGTTCTTGAAGGAGGCAAGAGAGGGAGCGAGGCGGAGGGACTGCAGGATGGAGTTCCAGAAGGTGGGGATAGAGTGGCTGAAGGCCAGCCTGACAATGGTGGGGCGGCCGAGGCGGGGGACATAAAGCAGGCTGGAGCCTGCTGAGCAGAGGGAGCGGGCAGGTTGGTAGGAGGTTAGGAGGTCGCAGAGGTAGGGGGGGAGCAAGACCATGGAGGGCTTTGAAGGTGAGGACCAGGATCTTGAACTATATCCTCTGTGTGATCGGAAACCAGTGGAGTCAGACGAGGATGGGGGTGATAGGGTCACAGAGCCTGGTGCAAGAGAGGACGTGGTTTTAAAGCTAAGCAGTGGAAATATAAGGGCAACTATTTAAATAATAATAGTATTAATGCTTGCATTTGATAGAGCGCCAATCAGGAGGGCCTTAAGTCTTTTTGACGTTCAACTGTAGAAAGATAGCGCTCATCCAGGACTTCGAAGTCTTACAGACTTCTGTCATTCATGACAGCTGTGGTCCTGGAGTCGAGGGTGGAGGCAGAGAGATAGTTGTGTGTCATCCGCACACATGTGGAAATTGACCCTATGTCTGCGGATGATGTCACCAAAAGGGGGCATATAGATATTGAAAAGAAGGGGACGAAGGACAGAACCCTGAGGAACTTTGCACGAGTCGGTGCGGGGCTAAAGGAGAAGCCGTTTGTGGAGATGAAATGGAGACGGTGTGAGAGTTAGGATCTGAACCATTCAAGGACAGAACCATGAAGGTTGAGGTGAGAGAAGAGGCGGTGGAGAAGGATAGAGTGGTCAACATTATCGAAGCCAGCAGAGATCAAAGAAGACGAGGACGCAGATGGAGCCCTGGTCGCAGATGGCCAAAATTTGCAGGTAATGTGTATTTGTAGGCAAACACGGAAGTCAAATTGCACACAGCAAAATTCCACAAACAGCAATGAAGTGAATGACCAAATTTATCTGGAATTGTTGGCCAGGACACCTGCAGAAACTTTCTTCTTTTTTCAAATAGTCCTTAACATTCACTTGTACAAACAGACAGGACCTCGATTTAGCGACTCATCCGAAGGCCAATATCTCCAGCAATGCGGTGCTACCCCTAACACTGCACTAGAGGATCAACCTAGACTATGAGCTGAAAGTGCTAATGGTGGGGTTGAACCCACAACATTCTGTCTCAGTCTACTCAAGAGACCAAGATGACAGTCTCCTCTTGAGAGACAGCTGCCAATGGTTTATATACATGGCAGCCTGTAGATCACATAACTGAGCATTTAGCTTCTAACCACAAACTTGTGACATTTGAGAAATTCTGAAACATTCACTTTAATCTGCTGAATGAATATGTTTTCATTCAGTCAGTGTCAGGTATAAGCAATGTTATTTGTTTTTAATGTTAGGAGTGCAAACCAGGATTACATATTATTTTACTTGATATAAAAGTGGAAAAAAAGTTTAGTTCTTTCATATGACATTACAGTAAACAGCAGCAAGTCTTCAAAAAGTCAACTTAATTACCATGTTATTATGATCTGCCATTAGATGGTACTTGAGTCCAGCTAAAGATTTTAATTGCTTTCCACAGTGTTGGCACTCATAGGGCTCCTAGAAGGAAAATAAGTTATTTTTAGGGTAGAATTGCACTGCAAGTTTTATGATGTGAAAAAAACTAGTTAAAGAAATAACTGAAAAAAAATCCTCTACATTAAGGTTAACCCTACCCTTAATGCAGTTTTAAAAAAAAACAAGCATTTAGTAAGTAAACAATTCAAAATATCAAATTCAGATGAGAAACACTTCAAATAGAAAAGTTATGTAAGCGATTATACAGAACAGCTTCTGGAAATGCAGCTCAACACCCAAGCGGCTGCGTAATTATTTAGCAATTATGTCCCATTTGAAGTTGCGTGTGTGTGAGCTTCCCGGCCCTGCACAACAGGTGCACTTGTTAATCTGCAGCGGAGAGAAATCAAGACATAATAATACCTACATTTGATGTAATAATCATCCTGCATTTGATATAATAACTCCTTACCATGCTGTCAAGATGTCACAAATCGCTTCACAGGTTATACTGTAAAGTGCAGTGATAGTGTAAACTTTGCGGCCAAATCCAACAGCCAATGTACGTACAGCAATATTACACAAAACAGCTTTGGAGTAAATGATGAATTTTTATTTGTCCAGAACACTGGGAGAAACTCCCTTCTCTTTTCAAATAATATCCTGGGATCTTTAACTTCCACCTGGACAGGCAGACAGAACCTCAGTTTGATGTCTCATCCAAAGGACGCAACTTCTGACAATGCAGCACACCTCCCAGGAATGCACTGAAGTATCAGCATAGATTATATGGGTTCCAAGTCCTGATGTGGAGCTTGAATCGACAGCCTTCTGACTCAGAAGAGAGTGCTACCAACTAAGAAATTCACACAGCTTAGGCCTCAAAAATGGTGGTTTCTATATCTATTAGTACTAAAAACCATATCTGCACAATCTTCCATACTGCAGTGAATCAGAGTAAAATATATCAAGCACAGAGGTAATAAATAACTCTATACTTTCACAGTAGACCTATTCAAGGCAACATTTTAATTTCTGAGAGGCATAAGAGTAAGAGTACCTCTTTACAGTTAATCATGTGTTTTTTCAATCCTTCCACTGTCTTCCTTATAACAGCCTTACAGGTGGGACATGCAACCTTTCCCTTTTCCAGTATCTCCAGGTACCAGTGTTCCTCCTGACTTCCTACAAGTTAAACATCACATTTAAAGTTCACATTGTACGCAGTCGTTTTTCAGCAAAATGAAGATAATTTCTACGAGGCTAATTACAATTTAAACACTCCCATTTCCCCCCTCACCCCACACACAATTTCCCTCCAGATTCAGATCAACTGTATTCAACACTGATTTAAAACAAAGCACCACAGATCCCCCTGAACAGTTCAGTTGGAGTTAAGTCCGCCAACAGTTTTGTCACTGGTAACATTTAACACAAGGATACTAAAGTGTATAACAATAGGCTTCACCCTTGTGGAACACATTTCATTAACCACATCAAAATCACCTGCTGGAGGAAAAGAAAATTCTACTCAAGCCTATTCCAGGTCTCATAATGCTCCCAAATCTGCACCATAATGTTGCTTGCATAAAATTCTCTGTTAAATACAACTTGATTTTGTACTTATTTCCAGATCACCCTCCATTTTTTGGCTGAGTTATTAATTTAAATCTAGATTGCCTCGTAATTCAGATGACCATGACTAGCAATATTTCAAAGAAAACAAGTTTTCCTCCTGGTTATTCACGATCATATTCAAATTCACCCACCAAAATTCTGAAATTCCAACCTCATTGTTATTTCAATACATCTGTATGTATAAGTCACTGCTGACACACATCAGATGCTGCATTTCGTTCCATAAAATTCATAATGCTTCTATTCAAGGTACAAGCTAACAAACAGAAAATGACCCTCGCCCCTTCATTTTATGCAAAAAATCATATTATATAGAGGCTATTAAAGAAATAAACCGAACACACTAAAACTCTGACTAGACTGCACCACGAGGTTGGGGGTGGGGGGGCTGGGTATGGTGGAGGGCGAGAGCCGATCTGGCTCGATGAATTTTCCGGCTAAGTGTATTTATTACCAATAATGCAAAAATGCATATGCATTGCTGAAAATGCACTGCATATGCATTTTTTTAATTTGCTGTCACTTTCCAGCATTGCGTATGCATTTCTAAGTAGTCACTCACCCACATGCATGGGCACTGGAGACCAGACAAAGGACAGTGAGGTGGGAAGCTATGTAGCAGAACTGGTCCGGTAGGAGTCTACACGTTGGCCTGAGGAAATTTGTGGTCTGTGGAAAGGTCGAATTCTGGATACTCAAGGGTCCGGTGAGCCAGGGATTTAAGAGTAAAAACTAAATCCAATTCAAAACTAATTTCAGAAATAAAACTGAAACATTCCTTCCCTAGAAACTTCCACCATGTTGCAAGTCATCTCGTTTCCTGGTAAAAATTTAAGTTACTTTACTAATGTACTCCTTAACGGACACATTTATCCTGAAACACATGCCAGCAGCAAAACTCCACAAATGAAGGTCGGTTACTGTTAACACATTTACCTCATACCTGCTGGGTACGAAGGAGGATCTTTTCTCACATATCGAGGTCCACTTTTGGGTTTTGGACTCTGCACTTTTGCGTGGACCTTCAAGGACTTTCGCTTTTTAATAAGTTTCTTTGTGACTGCAAATAAAAGACGGCATTTACTGAAAGAGTCATGGAAATCCATGCTCAACATTCTAAACCAATGCAGCCAAACAGAAAAATAGGTATACAATCTGATTTAACCTTATTCGCTGCATTCAAATGATACATGCACTGCTCACAAGCTTAAACCTATATGACTAACACTAATGCACAGTGCAATGCCGATAAACTACATTCCATCATAATTCAAGTTTGTTTGCAAGGCAGATGACTGAATTCCTGCACACATGAGCTAACTTACCTAGATTAAAATTTTATGGACCTCAACCTCTGAGGTATAAAGAGCTGCAATAATCTAAGAGCAATGATGAAGGGCATTGGAGGTGAGCAGGAGAATGGGATTAGATTAAGTGCGTCATGTGGAGAAAGGGCCCACTGCAGAAGTGATGTGTTGAATGGCTGTACTGGAGCATTTTATAATTCTACAAGAGAGGCTTGAGTTTTGATATCTAAAGTTCGAAATGAGGACAATCTATCCTTTCGTTCATATACAAAACTGCCATTTTATTTTAAAACTCACAATATTAATTGCATATTAACAGCTCTAGTAATTTGTGCAACAAATTATTACTAACAGTTTCCACCCACATTTATATTCTAGGACATTAATTTCACCCAAGAATATAAGCAAAAATAAATATGCAACACAGGAGAGAAGGCAGTGAAGTAATGCAAACATTTGCAATGGTGTGTAAATAGCTCCCTTCAGCCACTGCGCAACCGTTGAAGGAATACTTGGGAGATTGTGTTCCACGTATCACTGAGGCACAGTCTGGCACAGACCACAGAGTTTTCACTCAGTTACAAGCTCAAGCTATTTGGCAACATGGCAAACAAATACATTCTAGGATTTTTCTAATTATTTTGTTTTCTCCTTTTCCGCTTCCCACAAAGTGTTGACTTCTTTTCTCCCTTCCACTTGAAAACAGTTCCCGTCACCCTCCAGTATCTTCCCTAGGTGGCCATTATTGGAGTCCTTTAGCTCAGTGGTTAGAGGACTCGCCTCGCAAGCGAGAGACGAGGGTTCGATTCCCAGGCAGGGTGAAATGTTGGGCAAATTTCCTTAATCTGCACGCCTCTGTTTACCTAGTAGTATGTAGGAACCCAATTGTTAGTCGATTGGCGAATTGCTTTTCCGGGGGTAATAAACCCTTCAAAATAAATGATTTGGTCACTCAATCCACGATTGTTTGTGGGACACTGCTGTGCGCAATTGGCTACCCAATTTCTCCCACAAAATATACAGTCAATTCACTTTACAGTATATTCTGTGAAGCGCTTAGAGATGTTTCAAAGACATGATAAAGCACAATATCAAATGCAAGGATTATTATTGTTGTTATTGACACACAAGTCTCTGTAGTGAATGCTGGAACACCTTATAACTATGAGGTCACTGTGGTTGAACCCGAACCTGTTCTCAACCAATGTACACCTTTCAGTTAGGAGGGGAGGGGACTTGCGTCTCCGGATGGTGGTCAGGAATAGGAAGCACGGCTAATGCTCCCATTCCTAACTGAGAGCTACAAAGACCAATCCTATACATCAAAACGCCCTCTAATCTGCCATGTACTGGGCACTAGCACCAGCACCAACATCTAGTTAATCTTAGCACAAAAACAGGAACCACAGACTTTTCCACGAGCTTAACAGTTAAATACCAAAAGATGGTTATTCCAATTCTTTATGATTTTTTGCATTATAAACTGCACTTTATAAGGCTGTTAGATCCATCCTATGAAATTCATAGTAAGGAAACAAGTCAGAAACTCACACAGCAATTCCTTAGCTAAGGAAAAAATAGGCTCCTTGAGCTACATCCTCCATGAACTTCAACTCATTAAATAAACGCCCATACGCTCTCTCTCCCCCTCATCAGCCTCCGCATGACCATTATTCCATCCAAAGCTCCACTGACTCCCAGCACCTCAGTAGATCAACTTCAAGATCCTTGTCCTGATATTCAATTCCCTTCACAATCTTTCCCTTCACTAACTGGGCAATCTCCTCCATCCTTCCCTCTTCTGGTCTATCACTCATTCCTTGCTTCCTTCAACCACTGCATCTCTGTTCTCTGGAACTTTCTATCAATATCCCTTTACCTTGCAGCATCTTCCCTGGTCTTCAAAACTCTCTGAAAATCTTCACTCTTTGATCAACACTCTTAAAAATTCTTACTCCTTTCTTTCCTGCTCCAGTTCCATCTCTGTAGATATTCACCCTATGTGAAAGAAGCGATATAATTGCAGGTTGTTGCTGCTAAATCTGCTAAAAGGAAAATGAGGGGTTTGCAATTCAAATGCAACATTCTAATAACTGACTTTCAAGATTCTGCATGTTATGTGATTGATGCTTTCCAGATAGTATTATAACATCTAAACTCTGGACCTGTAAGCTTTATCTGCTTCCTCGGAGACGCTTTATCAGCATCAGCACTGCTCATTTTCCTTTTTTTCTGTGATGTTTTGGAATCTGCTGCAAAAAAAACAATTCGCAGATTAATTAAACAGTAGTTGCTTTTTTGTATTATGTATATGCATAATCTACATTTCTTTAAAAAAAGTAAAATAAATACATTTGTGCAGCGTTTCTGCTAATACTCGGTTTCTATTTAAAAAACAGTAACCAGCAAAAGCTAATTTAGTGCTTTACCAACTAAAGCATAACCAACTAATAAATTGGAAATATCCACATTACAGTGGAAACTCTCTACCATACTGAATAACGTTAAGCAGTGTACATGGCAAGATATGAAAAGAAGGAACATATGTAGAAAAACACTAATTTGTGGTACAACAACTTGGATTTATATAGCACCCTCCACGCTGGACGGCATCTCAGATCGCTTTACAGTAATGGATCCCGGGACCGAGCCAGGGGATGGGGAGGAAGGTGACTAAAGACGCGGTCGAAGAGAAAGGTCTTCAGCAGGACCTGAAAACAGGAAGAGAAGGGGGAAGGCGAAGAGAGTGAGGAAGGGAATTCCAGAGCCTCAGGGCACAGTGGCTGAAGGCACGGCCACCGAGGGTGGAGCGGAGGACTCGGGGGATGAGGAGGAGGCCAGACCCGGAGGAACAAAGGCAACGGGTACTGTTTTGAGGAGAGAGGTCAGAGAGGAAGGGGGGTGCAGAGGAGTTGAGGGATTTGAATACAAGGGTGAGGATCTTGAAGTCGATCTTCTCTGGGATAGGCAGCCAGTGCAGTCTGGCAAGGACTGGGGTGATCGGGGAGCGGAGTTTGGTGCGGGTGAGAATGTGGGCGGCAGAGTTTTGAATGATCTGGATTTTATGGATGGTAGTGGATGGGAGACCGGCGAGGAGGGTGTTTGACTAGTCCAGCCGAGAGGTGACAGAGGCATGGACTAGGGTTTCAGCGGCTTTCGGAGACAGGTATTGGCGGAAACGGGCGATGTGTTGGAGGTGGAAGAAGGTGGTGCTGGTGAGGGACCGGATGTGGGGGAGGAAGGATAATTGGGAGTCGAACCTGACCCTAGGTTGCGTACGGGTTTGGAGAGTTTTAGGGGGAGGTCGGGTAGGTGGAGGAGGTGAGAGCTGTGAGATTTTAGATGTTGACGAGAGCCAAAGAGTATGGCTTCCGTCTTGTCAACATTCAGCTAAAGGAAATTTGCGCTCATCCAACCCCTGAGATCTGACAGGCAGGCTGACAGAACATCAAGGGACTGGGGGTCGCAAAGAGAGGTGGAAAAATAAGAGTTGGGTGTCGTCCGCGTACTTGTGGAAATGTACCCCATGTCTGTGGATGACATCCCCAAGAGGGAGCATGTAGATCAGAAAGAGGAAGGGGCCAAGGATGAATCCTTGGGGTACCCCGCAGGTGAGCGGGTGAGAGCGGGAGGAGAAGCTGTTTGTGCAGATGTACTGCTGGCGGTTTGTGAGGTAATGACCTTCACAGGCCAACACTCCAAAGAAAAAAACACTTTTCTGGCAGAAAAACCTATTATACAGTTTGTCACATAAAATGCTTCAAGACAAACAAATATGACTCAACGATTTAGAAGAATTGGACTAATTACAACTATAGTTATTTCATGAAAAATTGAATGAAGTAGAATTAGGTGAATCCAGGATCTTTAGAATAGGATATCACAGAATATTCTATCACAGTCACTAAAAGCCAATGTCTCTCCCTTGAGGGCCGCTCTCATCTCTTTAATATTATCCACCTACTTTCAAATTCATCATGACACTCAGGCAGCGATTGACCAGAGGGAAACATTCTGCAAGAGTGAAATACATGATTATATTATAACAAAAACATGCATCTTACCCTTCCCTTTCGATTTACATTTTTCTACATAAGCATCCATTCCTTTCATCTCCAGCCAGTATCTGGGCTTCCGGATTGCCAGCTGTCCATCATCCTCCCCATTAATTTTATCTTCTGATGTTGAGGATGAAGCATCACTGAAAGACTCCTCTTGGCTTTCTTTTGTAACAAAACCACTTTTATACTGTTTATTCCTGGTAAAAGTAAACATTTGCCATCAATAATGACAAACATTATGAGAACAGGAATTTATAATTTTATTTGGAATAAAAAGGAGAATTATATGAAAAGGGGAGAAGGACACAGAAAGAGGATTCTGGTGACTACCATTTATATATCAATAAGAACTACTGAAGTTGTGAAACACTGTCCTTTGGAACATGAACTAGCTGTAGGCATTGGGCTCATGGAACATGTTACATAGAATTACATACACTAACAGCACATAACAGGCCATTCAGCCCAACTAGTCTGCACCAGTGTTTATACTCCATAGGAGGCTCCATCCGTTCTATTCTTCTCCTGCTAGGCCTCTCTATTCCATTCACCCTCATATGTGTTCTACTAATTCAAGGTAGGTCTAATCTAAATCCTACTTTCACCTTCCTCCCTACATCCAGAAATGATCGCAAATAGGTTCAATATAAATATGATTGATATACTTATTAAATATATTAAGATATATCTATCTCAGTTACAGAGAAAAGGGAATTGCTATTAAACTAATAGCTATTAATGCTATTAAAACTAATAAAATACAGGATGAGGTGGGGTTTCCCGATTAACTCGATCACACTCAAACATCAGACACAGGCATAATGTTTCAAAATGAGTGATTATATAATATTTGTTGCTGGTGTTGTGGATTACAATTGTTCCCAATGCTCTGGCCACTTACCTGTACCTTGCAAATTACCTGGATCTAAATGAAAATAAAATGAATTACTCGGTTCATCAAACCACTTACTTCTTGCCTCCCAAAGTAATCTTTATTTTCTGTATTCTTGGTTCTAGATCCTCTTCAACAGGTTGAGTTGTCTAAAAGAGAACACTAGCATAAATTTTCTTATCATAACAGTATAGTGGAAGGTTACCTGTTGGAAGTAAATTCCCATTTACTTCTCACCATCACATGTACGTTAATGTTGCATTGAAATAGCGGGTACTTTACCCGATTCAACAGTGTGTTACATTAGACCCATTAAAATTGTGATTTTAGGGTGGCATTGTGTCCTAGAACTATAGATTATGACTTCGATACAGGACGATTAAAGAAACCCATAATAATGGACCTGGGATACCTCAAGAGAATACTGTAGTATCAAGACTATAGTAAAACTTGCATAAGTCTTCTATTTATAAATCACAAAATTGCTTAAAGCTTACATGCACTCGAGAATTACTAGAAGGTGGAAGAAATGTTTTACAAAAGCATCAGTTGGATGTAAAACATTACGAAAGTGGCAACTGAAGCTACTTCAATTACAAAAAATTTAATTCAATTGAATTGACATGAAATACAAATTAGATAAATACAAAAATGCGCAGACAAGCAGCAGGGAAATGGGATGAGAGTAAACAGCTCTTGTGGAGGGTGGAGTTAGATGGTCAAATGGCTGCCTTCTGTGCTTGAATATCCAGGATTCTTTTTACAGTGCTTTAATTTAAATTATAAGCACTTTAGGCCTGTGAATTATTCATGCTCAGCACAGGGCAAAATGCAGTAAACTCCAGATAATTCAACCCTAACTTAACTTGTCACTACCACTTAAGTCACCATGTTGGTAATATGCTGGTTGCACATAGTTTTATAAATATATAATATATATATGCCTGATTCACTACTCACTGAGCCCTTTTATAATACTTGCATTTGATATCGCGCCTTATCACGTCTTTGAGACGTCTCAAAGCACTTAACAGAATATACTGTAAAGTGAATTGACTGTATATTTTGTGAGTGAAACATGGTAGCCAATTGCGTACAGCAGTATCCCACAAACAGTTGTGGATTGAGTGCCCAAATTGTCATTTTTTTAAGGTATTATGACCCCAGGAAAACCGATCCGCCAATCGACTAATAACCGGGTTCCTACTTTCTGCTAGGTAAACAGGGGGTGTGCAGTAACGAAACTCGCCCAACGTTTCACCCTGCCCAGGAATTGAACCCAGGTCCTCTCGCTTGCAAGGCGAGTGCTCTAACCACTGAGCTACAGGACTCCACTTTTCCTCTGAGTGAAAAGTTATTAGGTGTTTACTGTATTAAAAGTACAATTCCCTTACCTGGATTTTAAATGTTTTAACATTCTTCCCTCTCATCAATTTTTCTTCATTCCCAGACACTTTTTTCCCTAGGGGGAAAAAAAAAGGTGAATTGTTTTTAAAATGCCACTGAATGTAATCATCCAGTGGATCTGCTAAAATCTCCATTCCATGAATACATTTCCATCATTCCATCACCCATGATTAGCAAACGGGTTCAGAATAGGTATTAAAAAGCACATCTGCTTTAAAAGAAAACTTCAAAGAGTGGGTGTGATTGAAACATCTATAATTGTTGCTCAGACTGTTCAACTCATCTGTGAATACATACAGTGCATCTATGAAGGCCTGAAATTCCACTTAGTCTTATCCCATAAGATCATGTTATAACATTTAAGATTGCACGGATTATGGAAAATCTTAAATTCAGTCAATGTGGAATCCACTTCTTTAAGAATGTCAGAAAAATGGGTTCCAAATTAAGATCAAATGTAATTTTGCACATTTCCGTATGATTTAAAATTTAAAGACAAAATGTTTTTTTTTACAGACTAAGACCCATTTTGATGCTGTTTTCTAATGTATAATATAAACAACACACAAACATACATTCATGAACAAAGTAAAGAGGCTTATACTGGAAGAGCACAATATTGACAGTAGGTATCAAAGGTTGACAAATCCAGCCGGGAATGACAGGATGAGTCTCCTTCCTTTCTCTCTCTCTCGTTCTCTCTCAAGCACGCTTCAGGACTGTAGAAAGAACAGTCTGGCAAGTCTCAATATATATCTCCTTGCATTTGATATAGTGTCCTATCATGGTATTAAAGGAACTGTGACAACATGGATCCAGAACTGGCTAGGAGACAGAAAGCAGAGATTAGTAGTAAACGGTTGCTTTTCTGACTGGAGGGAGATATGTAGTGGTGTCCCTCAGGGGTCGGTACTGGGACCACTTTCTGATCTATATTAATGACCTGGATATTGGGAGCACAATTTCCAAATTTGCAGACGTTACTAAGCTAGGAAAAGTAGTTAATGACACCAAGAGGACTTAGACAGATTGGTAAAATGGGCAGAAACCTGGCAGATGAGGTTTAATGTAGAGAAATGTGAAGGGTTGCATTTTGGTAGGAAGAATGAGGAGAGGCAGCATAAGATAGATGGTACAATCTTATAAGGGGGCAAATGAACAGAGACACCTGGGGGTCCACATAAGCAAATCTCTAAAGGTGGCAGGACAAGTAGATAAAACTGTTAAAAAAGCATACAGGATACTAGGTTTTATAAATAAGGGCATAGAATTCAAAAGGCAGGAAGTTATGTTGAATATTTACAAAATGCTGGTGAGGCCTCAGTTGGAGTACTGCGTTCAGTTCTGGGCACCGCACTTCAGGAAAGATGTTAGTTAGGGCATTGGAAAGGGTGCAAAGGAAGTTTACCAGGATGGTACCAGGAATGAAGGACCTTAGTTATGAGGAGAGGTTAGCGAAACTAGGATTATTCTCCCTCGAGCAAAGAAGATTAAGAGGGGATTTAACAGAGGTTTTCAAGATCATGAGAGGATTTGATAGGTTGAACCGGGAAAAACTGTTTCCACTGGCATGTGGGTCAGTAACCCGAGGAAACCGATTTAAGTTAGTTGTTAAAAGAAACAAGAGTGGAGGTTAGGAAAAAATTTTTCACCCAGCGAGTTGTTCGGATCTGGAATGCATTACCTGAAAGGGTAATGGAAGCCGATTCAATAACAACTTTTAAGAGAGAAGTAGATGGGTATTTGGGGAGGACGGGATTGCAGGGTTATGGAGAGAAAGCGGGCCTGTGGGATTGAGTTGGATTGCTCTTTTCAGAGCGGTGCAGACACGATGGGCTGAATGGCCTCTTTCTGTGCTGTATGATTCTATGTCATCGAGACGTCTCAAAGAGCTTTATATTCCTACTGGATCAGAGTCAGCAGGAGAATTCATGCAGTAAGTGACCTCTAGTTGTCATTCCATAATATACAACCACCAGTGTCTGCAGCCATCTAACAAGCCAGTAACTTACATTGGCAGCAAAAATTAGAATAACCAAAATGAGCCAAGTTCTCAATTGCTAAGAGGAGTAACAGGGAGAAATTCTAATCACTCGTTCACAGAATTAGAGAATGATTCATCACAGAAGCAGGCCATTCCATCCAACTTGCCAGTACAGGAGTTTATGCTGCACTTCACATAAGACTCTACCCTCCTATATTTCCTTCTCCCTATACCTTATACCGGCAGATTGGATGGGCTGAAGAACCTTCTTCATCTTCATCCAAACCAATGTTGTGATCTTGTGACCCTCATGGATGCATCAAGTTCTTTCAAAGACACTGTTGTTTTTTTGCTGCAGCCCAACTTCCAGAAGTGAATTCCACACGCACCACTTCCTGCGTTAAGAAGTTCCTCCAAATCGCCCTTTTAGATCTGCTACTGGCTACCTTATATTTACGTTGTTCCCTCCCACCCAACATTTTGGACTTACACACATGCAGAAACAATCCATCAATGTCCATCTTATGAAAATCTTAAAATATCTTTATCACTATTCTTTTATATCCACAGTATCTCATAAGTCAATTTAGAAAAAAAATCTGTGTACTATTTGCACACAATTGTCAATTTTTATTTTTCCACCAAGCCTCCCTCGTCTTCTATTAAACAGAAAAATGTCTTTCATAAACCTCCATACAAATCCACAAAGCAAAATTCACCAGCTACAATAAGTTATCACTGGTAACAATAACTAATAATCTGAAACTATGACGGCAAAGCTCTGAATACAATACAAACAAAACACAAGTAGCAACTCTTGTCCCCCCAAAAGCAACAAGTGAAACAAAAAGATAACTAATGTTTTGGGTAGCACTTGTCATTCCTTTTTTAGATAAGGGAGACGAGAATGAAGCTCAACAGAAAGGGACAAGCAAAGATACCAACAATAAGAACAGAACAAGAACACATCCAGGGCTGACCTTTTGGGGAGGGAAGTGGGAGTGAATCAACAGTACAAAAAAAAAAGAACCGCAAATGACAAGACTTTATTCAGAAGCAGTAACGATTGGAACAGATTGCAAGACAGGGTGGTTCAGGCCTGGACACTGGGCTCAAGTTAAAAACCTGCTTGGTGCTGTATTGGGAGCACAGCAGGATGGACGTTCTAGAAGGATGATAGGATGATAATTTCGAATGGCTATTTTCATCAAAACCAATGTTGTGATGTTGTGAGCCATTAATAAATCTTTCTCTTCGAGGCGCTTCTTGCCCTGCTGTGTATTTCCAGTGTTTTGGCTTCATTATCAAATTTCCAGCAATGTAAAGTTTTCTTTCATTTATATATAATGTTTCAGAGAAAGGCCCAACTCACTGCTAATTCATTTAAACAAACAAACAAACAGGTGGATTTAAAATCCAGCTTGATCATCAAGTACCTTTGAAATGCATCAAATGCCACTCTCTCTCACACACACACACACCTCATCTTTATTTTTACCTCGTCTCTTTCTCTTTTGTTTCAGCTTGGATTTTGATGACTTCTTACGTGAAACCTCTATAGCGGAACTGGTCTTGTCCTTTTGTGCCATCACAACGAACTGAAAAAGACGACAACAAAAATACCTTTACTCCACATCGACTTGTCCACTCCCTCCGCTCCGGCCTGCTCCACATCCCTGGCACGACCTGCCCCATCATCAGCATTTGAGCCATCAGCCTCTCTGCCCTCACCCTTTGGAACTCCATCGGACAGTCCCGCCTCGCTCCCTCCCTTCCTTCAACGTATGTCTCATGACTCCTCTTCGAACACCCTCCACCCCTCCTGATCTCGACCCCTTTGCTCAGGTCGCAATCCCTGATTGTCCAGCGCCTTGGGTTATCCTCCCGACATGAAAGGCACTATACGAATGTTGTTTTCAAAATGCAACTTCTGCAGTTTTTATCAATATGAAATATTAAAATAAGATGACAAAATATTAGCATTCAAATTGAAAAATGATTCTTTTACCCCTGTCCCCACCTGATACACATTGAAAACCTTCAGATTCTCCATTTACCATTCCTGCCACCTGAAAATAATCAGCGTATATGACAAAGCACCATTCATTCATAGCCTTGACTCTGCATTGGAATGGAAAAAGGAACAATATACAAAGCAGACCCTTTCAAACTGCTGGAATCAAAACAAGAAGCACACATTGTGGCAAGATCCAGGTTATCTCCCATCTGTCAGTAAAAAATACCCCACACCACAAGAATTGTTCAGTGTAGGCCTTGGCATTCGGGGGAGCCACATTATCCATACATAATGCGGCTGGCTCATGGTCTAAATTAATAGATTCCTATCTATACATTACCAGAAATCATGGCATCAAATTGTTAATACTGATATCAGTGGAGTCCTGTAGCTCAGTGGTGAGAGCACTAGTTGAGCAAGCGAGAGACCTGGGTTTGATTCGGGACAGGGCAAAATGTTAGGCAAGTTTCCTTACTCCACATGCCTCTGTTTACCTAGCATTAAGTAGGAACCCAGTTGTTAGTCAATTGGTGGATCCCTTTTCCTTTTAAAAATAATTCCTTTTAAAAAAAATTCAGATCAGGTTCAAATCGTATCTCTCACACTGCCTGCACTTCATTTCCACAAACGGCTTGTCCTCTAGTCCCTGGACCGTCTCATGCGGCGTTCCTCAGGGCTCTGTCCTTGGTCCCCTCCTCTTCAATATCTATACGCTCCCCTTGGTGACATCATCCGCAGACATGGGATCAACTTCCACTGTATGTGGATGACACCCAACTCTACCTCTCTGTCTCCACCCTCGATTCCAGGACCACTGCTGTCCTGACAGAATGTCTGTTGGACATCAAATCCTGGATGAGAACCATCTTTTTTCAGTTAAACGTTAACAAGACCGAGGCTCTCTTGATTGGCTCCCATCAGCACCTCCACACCTCAGGCACTGACAGCATCACCATCCATGGTTGCACACTCCGCCTTACTAAGCCAGTCGAGAACCTTGGCGTCTTGTTTGACCATCAACTATCCTTTCTACCCCACATCTGCGCCATGACCTGCTCTGCCTTCCCCTACCTCCTCAACGTCGGCCGGCTCTGCCACTGTCTCACACCGAAGGTCACTGAAACCCTCATCACGCATTTATTACATCGAGGCTCAAATATGCAAACTCCTTGCTTGTCAGCCTCCCCAACTCCTCCCTCCACAGGCTGCAGATCATCCAGAACTCTGCGATTCGTATCCCCTCCCGCACTAGCCTCTGTGACCCTATCAACAACAACAACAACAAGATTCCATTTATAGAGCGCCTTTCACGTTGGGAGGATGTCCCAAAGCGCTGTACAGTTGGGTCAGGACCCGAGCAGTGGGGAAATGGTCAGGGTGAGGGAAGGGAAGGAGCGAGGAGGGGGGGAAATGGTCAGGGGGAGGGAAGGGAAGGAGCGAGGAGGGGGTAGAGAGTCGAGAGGGGAGCTGAAGGCACGGTCAAAGAGAAAGGTTTTGAGACCGGCCTTGAAGGAGGAAAGGGAGGAGGCGGCGAAGGCACTGGGGGATAGAGTTCCAGAGCCTCGGGGCTGAGAGGCTGAAGGCCCGGCCACCGATGGTAGGGCGGTTGGGGCGGGGGATGTGGAGCAGACTGGAGCCAGAGGAACGGAGGGTACGGGCAGGTACGTGGGAGGGATAGTAGGTCGGAGAGGTAGGAGGGAGCGAGGCCGTGAATGGCCTTGTAGGTGAGGATGAGGATCTTGAATTCGATCCTCTGGGGGATGGGGAGCCAGTGGAGGCGAGCGAGGGTGGGAGTGATGTGGTCGCGAAGCCTGGTGCGGGACAGTACACGAGCTGCAGAGTTCTGAATGACCTGCAGCTTGTGGAGGGAGGTGCTGGGAAGGCCGGCGAGGAGAGAGTTCCCATAGTCCAGCCTTGAGGTGACAAAGGCGTGGACCAGAGTTTCAGCAGCGTGAGGGGTGAGGTAGTGCCGTAGTCTGGTGACATTCCGGAGGTGATGGAAGGCGGTGCCAGTTGTGGAGCGGATGTGAGGGAGAAAGGACAGCTCAGGGTCGAACAGAACGCCGAGGTTCCTGATGGCTTTGAGAGGTGGAGAGTGCAGCCTTGGATGCTGATGCTGTCAGCGCCTGAGGTGCGGAGGCGCTGACACGAACCAATCAGGAGGGCCTCAGTTTTTCGCACGTTGAGCTGAAGAAAGTTGTCTCTCGTCCAGGACTCGATGTCGGACAGGCAGCTGTCAGGACATCGGTGGTCGTGGAGTTGAGGGTAGAGGAGGAAAGGTAGAGTTGGGTGTCATCCGCATACATGTGGAAGTTAACCCCATGTCTGCGGATGATGTCACCAAGGGGGAGCATATAGAGGGTGAAGAGGAGGGGACCGAGGACAGAGCCCTGAGGGACACCGCACGAGACAGTGCGGGGGGGGGAGGAAAAGCCGTTCGTGGAAACAAAGTGAAGACGGTGGGAGAGGTACGACCTAAACCACTCAAGGACAGGGCCTTGAAGGTTGAGGTGGGAGGACAAGCGGTGGAGGAGGATAGCGTGGTCGACCGTATCGAATGCTGCCGATAGGTCGAGGAGGACGAGGAGGCAGAGGGAGCCCTGGTCACAGATGGTCAGGATGTCATTGGTGACCTTGACCAGGGCAGTTTCTGTGCTATGGGCAGCACGGAAACCCGACTGAAGGGGTTCGAATAATGAATGGGTGGAGAGGAAAGAGTGCAGCTGGGAGGCGACAACTCGTTCCAGGACATTGGACAGGAAGGGGAGGTTGGAGATGGGCCGGTAGCTTGACAGCTGCGACGCATCAAGAGAGGGTTTTTTCAAGGTGGGAGTGATGGTGGCAGTTTTTAAGGGAATGGGAACAGAGGAGAGGGACAGGTTGACGAGTTGACATGTCCTCCTTTATCACCCCCATCCTTGCCCAACTCCACTGGTGTCCCATCACTCAGAGGATACAGTTCAAGATCCTGGTCCTCACCTTCAAAGCCCTTCATGGTCTTGCTACCCCTTACCTCTGCGACCTCCTAATCCCCTACCATCCTGTTTGCTTCCTCCGCTCAGTGGGTTCCGGCCTGCTTCACGTCTCCCCCCTCGCTCGCCCCACTAGTGACGTGCGGGCCTTCGGCCACTCTGCCCCCACCCTCTGGAACTCCATCCCGCAGTCCCTCCGCCTTGCCCCATCCCTTGCCACCTTCAATACCCATCTCAAGACCCTCCTCCCCTACCCCGACCTCCAGCTCGGGTCTGTAATTCTTGTCTGTCCAGCACCTTGGGACGTCCTCCTGATGTGAAAAGTGCTTTACACATGTAATTTGTGCAGAGACTATCCACGAAGCACAAAGCAAGCTCACTAACTCCCACAGCCACTTCAAATACACTTCTTCACACACCGCTTCCTGTAAGGACTCCATTCCCTTCTCCCAGTTTCTCCGCCTCCGCTGCACCTGCTCTGACAATGCTACACCAGAGTTTCTGAAATGTCCTCCTTTATCCTCAGCCGAGGATTCCCCTCCACCGGGGTAGCCCTTGACCGTGTCTGTCCTATTTCCCGTACCCCTGTCCTCACCCTTCCCCTCCCAGAACCATGACAGGGTGCCCCTCGACCCCACCTTCCATCCCACCAGCCTCCATGTTCAACGGATAATCCTCTGCCATTTCCGCCACCTCCAGCGTCATCCCACCACCAAACACATTTTTCCATCCCCTCTCCTCTCAACATTCCGGAGGGACTGCTCGCCGTGTGACTCCCTTGTCCACTCCTCCATGACCACCGACACCTGCTCTCCTTCCCCCAACACCTTCCCGTGCCAGCGCAGGAGATGCAACACCTGCCTGTTCACCTCCTCCCATACCACTGTCCAGGGCCCCAAAACTGCTTCCGGATGAGACATGGACTTCCACTAATGCAGTTTACTGTATTCGTTGCTCACACTGTGGTCTCCTCTACATTGGGGAGACCAAATGCAGATTGGGTGATCGCTTTGCCAAACACCTCCATTCTGTCCGCAAGTGCAATCCTGAGCTTCTGCTTGCACTTTAATTCTCCTTCCCATTCTGACCTCTCTGTCATTGGCCTCATATGCTGTTCGAACCAAGCACAATGCAAGCTTGAAGAACAGCACTTCATCTACTTCCCAGGCACCTTACAGCCCTCTGGCCTCGACACTGATTTTAACCACTTTAGACCTTAGCTCCAGCTCCCATCTTCTTCCTACCTTGCCTCACCCCCCTTCCCTTTAACCATTCACACATCCTCTTTTATTTCTATAGTCTCCCACTTTCGCTTTCGTTTGTCTTGCGCCATCAACATCTCTGATCTTGTCAACTCCTGTCCCCCACCTAAATTTTTCCGTTGTCTTTCTTTCCCTGTCCCTTTCTCTGCTTGTCCCTTTAAGCTGCATCCTTCCATAGACCCAGTTCCGACAAAAGGTTTTCAACCTGAAACGTGAACTCATTTTCCTCTCTTCATAGATACTGCCTGACCTGCTGCGTGTTGCCAGCGACTTCTGTTTTTATTTTACCTGGGGGATTTAAGCGTTCCGGGACACTACCACGCATGAAGGGCACTACATAAATGCAAATCGTCGATGTTGTTGTTGGCCAAGCCATTGACAAAGAACATTGACAGAAAATGAAGGAGGCACGTTTCATATCTTTTGCAAAAGATTTATGCATCTTGCAAACAGTATTTCTCTCATACACTAACGCATTCATTAAAGTCAGGTTGTAGGAATTAATTGTTTCGGATAATTAATTTGTACCTACATTGGGAGTACAGCTAATAGCAATGCTGTCTTACAAATAGTTCTGAGTCCCCACTTTCCCATACCTTTCCTCCCTATCCATTCATTTTCTCATTTAACGTAGGACACATTAATAATGTGATGTCAACCTGGTTCAGTTGGTAGACTCCTGCCATTGAATTAGAAAGTCTAGGTATAAGCCCCACATAAGAACTTTGAACTCATATATTCCATGCTGACCACACCTAAGCCAGTCAGGAACCTGGGTGTCTTGTTTGACCCTGAACTGTCCTTTTTTCCCCACATCCTCGCCATGACCCGCACTGTCTACCACTACCTGTGCAACACTGCCAGACTTCGCCACTGCCTCACCCCTCAATTCTCTGCCGAAATTCTCACCCACGCATTCGTCACATCAAGGCTCGATTATGGAAACTTCCTCCTCATCGGCCTTCCCAACGCTTCCCTTCACAAGCTGCAGATCATCCAAAACTCTGCAGCTCATGTACTCTCACGCACCAGGCTCCTTGACCCCATCACTCCCACCCTCGCCCGACTCCACTGGCTCCCCATCTCTCAAGAGGATCAAATTCAAGATTCTCGTCCTCACTTTCAAGACCATCCATGGCCTTGTCCCCTCCTACCTCTCTGATCTGCTGACTCCCTTCTTACCTTTCAGCCTCTCTGCCCTCACACTCTGGATCTCCATCCCAGTCCCTTCGCTTTGCTTCCTCCCTTGCCTCCTTCAAAGCCAGATTCAAGACCCTCCTCTTCGATCATGCCTTCAGTCGCCCTCTCACCTCTCTGCCTTCCCTCACCCCTACCCCACCCCTCCCCCATGCTCTGGTCCTGACCCCTGACTGTCCAGCGCCTTGTGACGTTCTCCCGACATGAAATGCGGTCTATAACCGGCGTCCTGTAGCTCAGTGGTTAGAGCACTCGCTTTGCAACCGAGAGACCTGAGTTCAATTCCAGGCAGAGGGCGAAACCTTGGGCAAGTTTCCTTACTCCACACACCTAATAATAATCCCTCCAAAACCAAAAACAATAATAAATTGGTCATTTTCATTCTACGACTGTTTGTGGGACATTGCTGTGCGCAATTGGCTGCCGCGTTCGCCCACAAATATACAGTCAATTAACTTTACAGTGTATTCTGTGAAGCGCTTTGGGATGTCCTCCCGACGTGAAAAGCGCTATATCAAATGCAAGGATTATTATTATAACCGTAATTTTTGTTGTTGGCACTGGCACCGGCCTCTAGCTACTAAGCCCCAAAACTCTGGAACAGTCTCCCTCAATCCCTCTGCCTTGCCCCTCTCTCCCTTTTTTCAATTCCCGCCTGAAAACCTTCCTGTTCTTACGGCCACCGCCCCCCCATCTCGGAGTCAGGTTCCATCACTGTTAGGCGCTCTGAGACGCTATCCTGCATGAAGGGCGCTATAAGTGCAAGTTGTTGTTGGCACTCCCAAAAGAGTGATGGTGGTGTGCCTCATTTATTAAGATATCATCCTTTGCATGTGGCGTAAAACCGAATTCCTGTCTGGCTGTTCAGTTGCACATTAAAGATCCCATGGCAAAATTCGAAAAGAGAAAGGAGGTTCTCTTGGTGTTCTGGCTAACATTCCCTCATATAGAAATTAGTCACTCACTCCAGGGCTGTTTGTTGGACTTTGCATTGTGCAAATTGGCTGCTGTGTTTGCCTACAAATAGTCACTCCACTTTGCAGTAATTGCTGTGAAGCACTTCAATGACATAATAAAGCACTGTATCAAATGCAATTGTTAAGTACGATAATAATTTACATTACATTCATTGTGCACTGTCTTCCTAACCAATTCCTGCTATTCCCCCTCAGCTGGTACTTTTTTGCTACCAAACAGATTAATTCCTGCGAACTACTGTGACAATCTCGCACAAGTATCTCAATTCATATAATTATACATCTGAAATTTTGCACAGTTATACTGTTGTTGTCAAAACATTTTAGTCACTCATATTCTGATTTCTACCTTTCTTGCTGGAGCATCAAAACATCATCAGCTACATAAAGATTACAAGCAAAAAGGAACCTTTAAAGCTTTAAGCTACTCAATCAAAATGCAACATTCCAGAAGAAAACATCCACACGGTGGGGCGAAGGAGGAGAGAGAGAAACAACAACAAATTGCATTTATATAGCGCCTTTCACATCAGGAGGGCATCCCAATCCCAAGAAAGAGGAATCATGTCAGGTGCGCAGACACTCCGAGTAAATTTTTGCACTAATTCTTAACAAAGGGATTTCTTAATCATGAAATCCAAGTGGGTTCTCCTTCTGATAACTGGAAGTATGTCACACTGACTCAGGGGAATCCCGCTCCGAAAACAGATTGGTGACACGGGCTGAATTATGGAATCCAGTTAAGAAATACCGCAAAATTGCCCCACATACATGACCGCACAGGTAAAAAACGGCCCATTCTTCCCATATTTTCCATTCAGCGGCTTCGACGCGAGTACTGCAACCGCCAAAGCCTATTCCGGAACACAAGAGGTCACCGAACACGAAAAGGGCCTGAATAAGATTAAACCGAGGATACAGGTCCGCGCGATTCCTCACAGCACATTTTAAGCATCCCGTCTTTTTAGGCCCGAGACATGTCATTTGCAGTAAAAGCCCAGCATGCCGGTCATTCCTGGCACGGCTTCTTTGGAGCGGCTCTGGCCCACACAATAGTTAATGGTCTTTTCTTTTTTTTTTGCGCGTAAAACGCCAGCACAAGTCGGACCCAAAAGTAACCACGGGAAACGACACATTTTTTTTTCTTTGCCGGCGGCTTCTCCATATCCTGAGACAGGAATCAAGCTGAACTTTGAGGGGAAGGGGAATCCCATAAAACCACAGCCCAGAAAGCCAGGCTTCATGTCACTTTAAACTTTAATTTTCCACCCCTTCCCCCCCCCCCCCCCTTTCTCCTCCTCTCCTTCCCTCAAAGGAGCTGCTGAGCAAACGAGAGTAGAGAGAGGGAGGGAGGGAGGGGGAGAGAGGGAGGGAGGGAAGGGGAGAGAGAGGGAGGGAGGGGGGGGGGGAGAGAGAGGGAGGGAGGGAGAGAAGGAGGGGGAGGGAGAGGGAAGGGGAGAGAGAGGGAAGGAGGGGAGAGAGAGGGAAGGGAGAGAGAGGGAAGGAGGGGGAGAGAGAGGGAGGGGGGAGAGAGAGGGGGGAGAGAGAGAGGGGGGAGAGAGAGGGAGGGAGGGGGGGAGAGAGAGGGAGGGGGGAGAGAGAGGGGGGGAGAGAGAGGGGGGAGAGAGAGGGGGAGAGAGAGGGAGGGAGGGGGAGAGAGAGGGAGGGAGGAGAGAGGGGGGGAGAGAGGGGGGGAGAGAGGGAGGGAGGGAGGGGAGAGAGAAGGGGGGGGAGAGAGAGGGAGGGAGGGGGGGGGAGGGGGGGAGAGAGGGGGGGGGAGAGAGAGGGGGGGGAGAGAGGGGGGGGAGGGAGGGGGGGGAGAGGGGGGGGGGGGGAGAGAGAGGGAGGGAGGGGAAAGGAGGGGGGAGAGAGTGGGGGGAGGGGGGGGGGGGAGGGGGGAGAGAGGGACAAGAATAAAAGCACATTCCTTTCTAAATAAACAAACAAACAAACGTTTACAAGATAGAAAAAAAAACACAGGCACAGCGTGCAAACCCGCCGAGCAAACGCTTAAAAAGCGACGTGTTTTTCTTTCTTTTCTCCCCTTCCCTCCCTCCCTCCCTCCCTCCCTCCCCCTCCCTCCCTCCTCTCTCCCTCCCTCCTCCTCCCCTCTCCCCACTCCCCCACTCCCTCCTCCGCTGCCCTCAAATCACATTTCTCCCGCAGCGGCTGCGAAAGAAAAAAAAAAAATGGCGTTAACAACAAAACCCCTTCGAGAAGAGATGGGAAAAGACACAGAGAGAGAGAGAGAGAGAGATGAAGGAGGGAGGGAAGGAGAGAGAGAAAGAGAGAGAGAGAGAGAGAGCAGCGGGGCCCTCAGGCTCCCCGCCGCCATGTCCTCACTGCTCCTCTCTCGGGCCTCCCCTCCTCGCTGCTCGGTTACCTGCTGAATGGCCGCTCGTTGACTCCCCCCCCGGGCCGTGTCCTCCTCCTCCTTCTCTCTCTCTCTCACTCACTCACTCTCCTCTCTCTCTCTCACACACACTGACCCGCACCCACAGTCTCAGGCTACAGGGCGGGGCTTCCCGAGCTCACGTCACTTCCGCCGCCCGCCCTTCAGTCCCCCCCCCCCCCCCCACTGTCTGCAGAGAAATGCAGCAGCAACACACATGCACACGCACATGCACACACACACACAGAGAGTGTGTGCGTGTGTGTACATGTGCACGTGTACGCGTACGAGGGGGACACGGGCGCAGTGCTTTGCGCTGCATGTCGCTTCACCTCGCGCGGCCGCCGGAGTCGTGGCGGCGCCAGACGTGGCCGCGGTCCTTGCGAGGCGATAAGGGCGCGCGCCGTCTTATCCCGTCTTCCAGGCGCCTCGAAGCTCGTCGCGGGCGCCTCGAAGCTCGCCGCGGGCTACGCCGTAAAGCGGGTGGACTGTGCGTTTCGTGGGCGGTCCGCGCCAGTCAGTTGCGCCGGGGACAGCAGCGTTCCCACGGACAGTCGTGGACTGAGTGACCAAATCGTTTATTTTTAAAAAAAATTTGGAAAGGTTATTACCTCCCAAAAAGCGATCCGCCAATCACAAATGACTGGGTTCTTACTGCTGAGTGTGGAGTATGGAAGGAAACTTACCTAAGGTTTCCTAACTTTCCAGGACATGATGCTTTCATCTTGACTACGCCAACTGACTGCTCCACAAGTTGCAGATTATTTAAAAACTGCAGCTAGTGTACTCTCCCGCACCGGGCTCCGCGAACCAACCAGCCCCATTCTTGCCCGGTTTCACTGGCTCCCCATCCCTCAGAGAATCGAGTACAAAACCCTCATTCTCACCTTCAAAGCCCTCTACGATCTTGCTCCCCGCTACCTCTCCGACCTCCTAATGCCATATCAGCCTGTTCGCACCCTCTGCTTGGTGGATACTGGCCTGCTTCAGGTCTCCCTCACTCCCTCCCTACCATCGGTCGGGCCTTTAGCATCTCTGCCCCCACACTCCAGAACTCTATCCTGCAATTCCTCTTCCTCACCCCCTCTCTTGCCTCTTTCAAGCCCCGTCTGAAGACCTTCCTCTTCAATTGTGCCTTTCCATAATATTATTACTTCCCATACACGGTGCATGTACACCACCACCACCACCAACAACTTGCATTTATATAGTGCCTTTTACCCCGGACAGCGTCTCAGAGAACTCACACCACTGCACACAGCTATCGGTTTCCATAAACAGAGTATATGTACTGTATACGGAGTATGTGTGTGTGAGAGGGACACACATGGGAGTGCATGTAATGTACTGTATATGTGTAGGTGAACCCAACAATTTGTGTACTGCGATGTCTCATAAAGAGTCATGAAATATTTTATTTTGTTCAGTCCGGTGTCTGACACATGCGGAAACCCATCACCATGCTTAAGAGTATCCAAACCAAGTTAAGATTTCCATGCAACTCACCTACACATGGAAATCCCAGAGATAGATTGTTGGAATGGAATCTGCACTCTCCCTGGAGGGACACATCCTGCTTACCAATTCCAGAAATTGTTAGGCACCGTTCAGCAAGAACCAAAGCTTGGGGACTCCAGAGTGTGCGTTGGGATACTGTTGGAGGCTGACCAGCTAAAAACGCATAGATTGCCATTGATGTTGCTGTCCAGCAAGCTTTTCAGCGAGGACCGCTGTAGCCATTAGGGCTTTGGCTTGCAGGGTTAACAGGAACTGAGTGGGATGATTCCCTGCCCCCAGTGACTGCTCTGCCCTTCCAGGTCCTGCCGATGAGCCTGCTGTGCTGTCATCAGCAGTGTCCTGGAATACTGCAGACCCAACTGGCTCAGGAACCAAGGCTGCCACAGAGGGTTGGCTCGATTCCGACATTCCGTTGCCATGCATGTCACCTTGCAGTTCAGCTCCAAGGAAACCCCACTTACCTCCTCCCCCCCAGTGGATAGTCACTAGTTGGTCGTTTGACATCCGACAAGTGCAGGTTTGAGCCCTCACTAGGTGGATGGAAGATACCATGAAATCCCTGCAAGCTTCCCAGTGGGCAACACAGCTAAGCATGAAATGCATGAGAGCATTGCCACTATCTTCCTGTTCACAGCTCGGACACACATCAGCAGCTGCTTGCCTCCCTGCTGGTTAATCAAGGTGGATTTCAGGCGCTGGTTGTACGCAAATGTGTTCACGAACTCGGACTCCAGATAACACCTTGCAGCAGCTGTTGCTCTAAGCCTTAGAGTTTCTTCACCAGCTATCTGGTGGCATCTGCCTTCAGCATGGTGGGAGGACCTTTACAGGATAGCTTGTGATGTGCCAGCCACCTTGATGTTCTCAAGTCCAAGTCCAATGTCGCGTACCAGGTTTACTCAGCACCAGCTGCTTAATGCAGCTCATGCGAGGGGCCTTGGCAAATAGACGTGCCTGCTATGAAGCCGCCTCCACCTCCAGGGTACTTAGCAATAGGTCAGTGTAGACTGGAGCTCTCACTTCCTGTATAGGCTGTAGCCCTTTCTCCCTGTCTGCCACAAATCCACCTCACTGCTTGATCCCGGACTTTGCAAATGGGTCGGAGGGAACTTTTCCACTGAATCCCCAGGAGCTCCGTTCCATAAAGGAAGACTGTTTGCACACAAGTCTTGTATGCCACAAGCTTGGGGTTCTGCTGTGTCTCTCGTTCTCTCTCTGGTATATACAATTATTGCCATGTCTCTCTCATTCTATCTTTATAAATGCAAAGATATTGAGTTATCTTGAGTTATTGTTGTGTCCTGTGCACAATCTTTCTCCGTATATGAGATGTGTGTACTGCACACAAACACAACATCCTTCAACTGTGTATACTGCACTCACCTGCCATCCTTCAGGTGAAATATTAAACTGAGTTCTGTCATTGCCACTGTACAGAGAGTAGGGAGCTTCTCCAGTTGTCCTGGCCAACAATCTCCCAGACTAAATTGGTCATTGGTCTATCCTCCTTTGGGGGGGAAGGGAGGTAAGCAGGGTCTGCTTGGAGCTGAATTGGTTCCAAGGTGACATGTTTAGCAACGGAATGTCAGAATCAAGCCAACCTTCTGTGGCAGTCTTGGTGGTCTAGTTACTGAGCCAGATGGATCCACAGTATTCCAGGGCATGTTGATGACAGCTTAGACAGCCTGGCTCATCGGCAGGACTTGGAACGGCAAACTTGTCATGAGGGCAGGGAATCCTCCCACTCAACTTCTGTTAACCCTGCAAGCCAAAGCCTTAACAAGTAGGGCAGTCCTAGCTGGGAAGTATTGGGAAAGCTTGTCAGACAGTGCTATTGAAGGCAAGCTATGCAGTTTTACAAAAACAACAACTTGCATTTATATACTGCCCTTCAGGCTGGACGGAGTCTCGGAGTGCTTTTTAGCTGGTTAGACTCCAGCAGTACCCCAACGAACACTCTGGGATCCCCAAGCCTTGCACCTAATGCTTTCCGGAATTTGGTAAGCAGGATGCATCCCTCCAACAATTTGGATTTGTCATGTGTAGGTGGGATGCAGTTGGGATACTCTACACCTGTAGGTAGGATACTCGAATTCAAGATCCTCATCCTCACCTACAAGACCATTCACGGCCTTGCTCCCTCCTACCTCTCTGACCTACTATCCCCCTACTTACCTGCCCCTACCCTCCGTTCCTCTGGCTCCAGTCTGCTCCACATCCCCCGCCCCAACCGCCCTACCATCGGTGGCCGGGCCTTCAGCCTCTCAGCCCCTAGGCTCTGGAACTCTATCCCCCACTGCCTCTGCCGCCTCCTCCCTTTCCTCCTTCAAGGCCGGTCTCAAGACCTTTCTCGTTGACCGTGCCTTCAGCTCCCCTCTCGACTCTCTACCCCCCCCTCGCTCCCTCCCTTCCCTCCCCTCACCCTGACCATTTCCCTGCTGCTCGGGTCCTGACCCAACTGTACAGCGCCTTGGGACGTCCCCCCGACGTGAAAGGTGCTCTATAAATGGAATCTTGTTGTCGTTGTTGTTGTTGTCTTAAGCATGGTGATGGGTTTCTGCATGTGTTAGACACCCTGCTGACGAAAAAAACCCCAGCAGTAACCATATTCAGAGAGAAGTAGGGACACTATATATATATAGAGAGAGAGAATGAAGGACATAGTAATAGTTGTATATATGGAGCGAGAGAATGCAGGATCCACAGCGATGGTTGTACATACAGCGAGAGAATGCAGTACACACAGCAATAATATTAGCATATATATATATATATAGAAAGAGAGAAAGTGAGAGAACAGGATACATAATGGTTCTATATGTACACGAATGTCCCAACAAGAGCAACAGTTCCAGCAATGGAAGAATTTGTCTGCTTGGAAGAGGAGAATGTGACTAGTAAGACATCTCTCACATCAGCAAGTCATCCCTAATTGGGCAAGCATGCAATAATGATTTATAAATTTTAATTATAAGTTTAATAATAGTATTAAAGTTTGATACTTCGCCTTTCATACCAGGAGGTCGATTAAAGTGCTTCACAGCATTCCTGTGAAGTGCAATGACTGTAGTTGTATAGGCAAACACTAAAGTGATTTGTAGCTGAACTTTACAGATATCCATTAATTTGTATTTGAACCATGTGGTTGTGATACCTGTAGCGAATCCAATTTTTCTCCACATATTGACCAGGACGATGATTAATGCCTGCAGTGATCGCCAGCTGATCATAACCTGTTGGGGACCAAACATCTATGGCTTTGCTGGAAGTTAATTGTTAAACTCAACATGCGGTTTGAGAATGTAACACAGTAACACACCAACTCATCTCCATTTTATTTCTCTCAATCTTTCACAAGTCAGAGATTGTGCATGGCTAAGAATGATCAGGTGACTTACTGAGTTTGTCCATTCTGAGTCCTGGGGCTGTTCAGATTGATGGGATGAAAGACCAAGGTTTACAGATTTGACCCCTTCACTAATCCCAACAGGACCTTACGACTATCCCTTGTGAATCTGCCTTGTAGTATGGCTACACTTCCCTCCCTCCTTTCTTTTCACCTCTCCCTGCTTATTGTTCCACCCCATACTGCTCCATCATCTACCTTGCCCTTTGATTTGAGGGATGCTGTGTGGTTGTAATGTTT